TCTTAAATAAGTGTGTTGTCATTTCCTGTTGCAGGGCAGGGACGGGGGGGAGTACGCACTCGGTCTCACTCCGACTGGGATCCTGGTGTTTGAAGGCGTCAACAAAATCGGTCTCTTCTTTTGGTAAGTACGTGATTTACATTTGTCTAAAAACAAGACAGCGCTGTAGTGCCATTAAGGCACATTTCAAAAATTATGTTAAATTATTATTTTTTATTTAATTAAGGCAGTTTTGGTTAGTTTTGGTTTTGTGGGTCTTATAAGGCACATTTCATCATTTCCGTCACTAATCTATTACCCAACGACGCGCAGCTGTGATAATTAGCCATTAATTAACAAGAAAATGATCGTCAACTATATTTGATACAAGGCAATGAAATAAAACTACAGTGTAAAAAGGTGACCACCAGGTGGGTACAGATACTTATAAGTTAGCCAAATAGAGCTAAAATTTGTCAGACGATAAAGAACAAAAATAACTACTAAACTAATACTAATAAACTAATAAAAACCTGGCTACAGCTATTACTCCACGTTGGCTACAGCTATTACTCCACAGCCATGCTAAAATTTAGTTCGATGTTCAGGTTAAGGTGGGCTCTTAAATTGCTCAAAACTTTCTCTAGAAATAATTTAAGTACTTGCTAGGTTAAAGTGGGCTCTTAAATTGCTCAAAAATTTCTCTAGAAATAATTTAAGTACTTGCCAGGTTAAGGTGGCAAAAATTGCTGCTAAAATTAGCCAACAGACCTAGCACAGAAGAAAATGTTTTAAAAGTAAACCTGATGTAAAAAACAAACAAAAATTATACAGAATAAACATATATTTAGCAAAAGTAAATTCATACTAAAGCCAAGTGTTAACTAAATGGCAGCGAAAAACCAACTACAGTAAAAAAGGAACCTTGTTAACTAAATGGCAGCGTAAAACCAACTACAGTAAAAAAGGAACCTGTAACTAGCTTAGTGGTTGCTAATGTAGCTTAACATTAGCCAGAGAAGCCAGCATTTGACGTCAGTTTCTCCTTCTGTTCTGAATTTATTCTACATTTTTTAAAACATGTGTTTGTTCTAGATGGACTTCTGAACCATTAGGGACAAAAACTGTTTTTTATCACATCTGTTTCTGTGTGTAACTCAGGCCCAAAATCACCAGGCTGGAGTTTAAAAAGAGTCGTCTGACACTGGTGGTGGTGGAGGACGACGATCAGGTCTGTATCCAGCCACAGCCTCAGTCTTATGAACACACCGACATCCGCAGGTGTTTGTGTATAGGATGTAAACAGTGTTTGTTTTGCCTGATCTTCAGGCCCGGGAGCAGGAGCATACCTTCATGTTCCAGCTGGCCAGCTCCAAGAGCTGCAAGCACCTGTGGAAGTGCGCTGTGGAGAGCCACGCCTTCTTCCGGCTCCGACAGCCAGCCACGGGCAAAGCCAGCCACAGCGACTTCACACGGCTCGGCTCTCGCTTCAGATTCAGGTAAAAAAAAAAAACCCTGCAGAGTGACAGTACCAGGAGTTGACCAAGCACTTGGTACCAGCATATGGAAACTACGTGTCACAAAAGACAGAGTCTTTGTATCTATGGTTACAGCGTATCTATGGTTACATGGATCTGTTCCTATGGAGACTGAGATATGACATTCGTATTGTTTGTTTTCTTCAGATTATTATCAGTGGTGGCTGAAGCAGAGGCTCACACTTGAGGCCACTTCCTGTCATTTGCTGGAGCCTCTAAACAAAGTAGTGTGAAGTCCATTTTACATTAGACTCAGTGGATGAAGTCTCAGGTTACAGGTGGTGGGAGTAAAAAATAGGAGCCAGTCGATGGTCACTCCACAGAGTCAGGAGGTTTATGGTGAAGTCACAGACTGCTGCTGTGGATTTTTCTGTAGAGGAGTAGAACATTTACATATGTTTATAATAGTAATAACCAAGTCTGACGCAGCGTTGATACGTGTTTGAAAGTTAATGTTTCATGTGTGGGACATGAACAGGTTAACACACACATTACTTTCGATGTCACTGCTCTTTTGATGCATGTTTAACACACACATTCTCCGCAATTTGACCCTGAGATCAACACGTAGTCATGCAGTCAGTAACCAGTCAGTTACCAAACAGTGGAAATCTACGGACGGCTGATATTAACATTAAATGGTGTTTTCAGCCTCTGAAAGATGATCCCGTCATATGTTGATGCCATAAAAACAGGTTTATCCAAAAAATAAAGAGCTCTTTTAATGCACACTATGCAGCTTTATGTAAAAAAAACAAAACCAAACCTACATCCATCAGATACCAATGTACACTGATGGTTAAGCTGTTTTTTTTTAATATATAATTTTGGCTAACTTTTATAACTTTGAGCTGATTTTCAGATGCCTTTTAAAAGTGTGAAATTTTAGTTGTGTTTTTGATGCATTTATATTAACTGTAATATATTTTTGTTGACTATTCCAGATAAGGTAGAGGGCGGTAGGTTATTCTGAAAAGCTTTTAGCCTTTGTTGAAGTTTTTGATAGTTTTTGATATTTTTCACATTTTTGGATACCTTAACCAAAGTCTTTTGTTATTTTTTTTTTTTTGTATTATTGAAAATTTTAAATATTCTTTCTTTTTTCTACCTTATTTGGCTACACTTAATGTGTTACATTATTATTTTTTGCCGTCTTCTAATACATTTTTCTGAGATTTAACAGTATAAAGATATTTATTAACCACTGCTAACAAACCTGAACATCTGTAATGAACCATATCTTTTTTGGTTTTGTCAAAAAGATAAAATGTTAGTTAACTTTATTAGTCGTTTTTCATAACCTGTGGCACAGCAGCAGCTGCTTCTACCTGACAGGATGTTAAAAAGTGCCTGTTGAAATGCTGACTCTTTTCACCCTCTGTTTTTCTCAGTGGTAAAACAGAATACCAGGCCACTCACGGCGGCAGACTGAGGAGGACCAGCACATTCGAGCGACGGCCGAGCAAACGATACCCCTCCCGCGCCCAGTCGCTGAGCAAAGGTGAGTCGACTGAGCAAACACTGGAACCATTTCTGTTAATTTTCTACTTCAACAGTGTTGAATTATTGAGTTAATTATGAGTGTGTTTCTCTGACTGTATGTAGACGATGTTTCCACTTTGTCAGAAACACCTGTTTTTCCTCCCCCGCCCGTCGTCACTCCTGCTGTCTGTCAGCTGCAGTGGTCTCACAGGCAGAGATGCGTCAGTGAGCCAGTGTGGTCTGTCAGTGTTCTCTGAACCCCTCCTGTTCTGATAATGGGTTCTTGTTCGAATAATAATTATGTGACATTATGTGACAGATTGGTGAAAAACAAGTTTAGAATATAAAAAAAAATTAAAATAAAGAAATATAGAAGATAGATTTTTTTTTATCTTTAAAATAAAAAAATATAGAAGATAGATTTTTTTTTATCCTATGTCCTATACATAGTGCTGTGTTTACTTCAATTTGACTAGTAAACCATTTTGGGTTCACACCTTTAACAACAGCAAGTACGTGCCTTTAAATGTGATTAATGTTTTCTTCATAATAAGCTAAAGATGTTATTTATTAGAAAGTCCAAATTATTAAAATAATCCTGTATATTTAAGCGTGTTGTTGGAAGCAGGAGTGCATGGAGAAAACCAAGGCACATGTGGGAAAAACTGGAGCTCCGACCACTGCTCTTTATCCAGTAAATGTTCAATTCTCTGCCACCGTGTGGCATGAATGTACGTGAAACGTACAAAATAAACGACATGACAATTTTCATGCTGCACCAGTGCTTTCTCTTATAATGATGTGTGTCAGGATCAGTAGTTGTAGTCGTGGTATTTTTTCCCAAAGATGTTTCATTAATCTGTGTCTCTCTGTCTTTCTCTCTGTCAGCTGCTATTTCCCCAGCCAAACCACATATTAGGTAAAAAAAAACATGCACACACACTTTAATATTCTGGTGAAATTTACCCTTTTTTTTGCTGAAATCTAAATGTCTTTATTTAAAAAAAATGTCCTGATGTCAAACTGTCTGAATAATCAACTCAAACACTGTCTAAACTTTTTTTATTTTGCTGCTAACTGTTGGTGTTTGTTGGCCAGCGCTCACGCCAGTCCTGAACCAAGCCTCCATCCAGTGAGTGGCTTCTCTCATATCAACACACACACACATATATACGTATATTTATGTACAGTACAGATATATTCAATATTCCACATCTGCTTTTCTGTCCCTTCTCCTCTGTCTCCTCTGTCAGTACCAGCACAACATTCCTATTGCCCACGACCAGTGGCTGTCGCCCCACCCTGCCCTCACCCCCCCGGTGTACCTGCAGCCATCAGGACACCCACCCTCACACAGGTAGGTTGAGTGACCACGCTTCTCAGAGTGGAGAAAAGTCAGAGACAGGAAGTCGTGTCCTCTGAAAGGCTGACTGTCTTACTCATCTTCCATTAGTTTCCATGTCCTCCTCTACTCATCTTCCATTAGTTTCCATGTCCTCCATGTCACTCATACGCCACGTTTGTCTTGTCTGTGTGTGTCTGTGTGTGTGTGTGTACGTGCGTCATGTTCAGGCCCTCTGTTGGGGATGAGAGTCCCATCTCCAGTCTTCCTCCAATTCCACAGCGAACCAGCAGCATCCTCCCACGTTCCATCAGTGTGATGCACAGGGACAAAGTCATGACTGCCCTTTGACCTCTGGCCTGGGGGAAAACATTTTTATAAACACTACTGCGTACAGAGAAACTGATTAGCACAAAGAGACGAGCTCCGCTGATGAACTTTACTGACAAAAAGCCTCTCCATCATCATCATCATCATCATCATCACATATGCAGTATCCTCTTCCATTTGTCTCATTCACTCATCATTACTTCAGATTATCTTCCATCTCTACAGGGTAGAGGCAGAGTGAGGTACTAGGAAATACTGCTATAGTAGTACTACTGCGTATTTACTTTAGCCTCAAAGCCCCCAATATGTTTTAATGCTGACAATCAAGCACTTGAATTGTTCAACGTGATGAGCATTTACTGTACGTACACTTCCACATGACGTTGTTGCACCCCTCCAGGAGTTCCCTTCACACCGCCACAGTTTTAGGTTGTTGTTTTTTAATAATCAGATCAAATTAAACAGGGTTTTGTCTCAGTTTTCTTCAGCACATGTTTAAACCAGCAGTGCTGTAGCTAACTGTGGCTAACTGTAGCTAACTGTGGCTAACTGTAGCTAACTCACTCACTGGTCGAATCAATAGGAACACCTTTTTGCCTGCAGGATGATGCAAATACCTAATCAGCCAATTAGAATAAGGAAGAAAGGAGTTGTGTGTTTTTTTGTTTCCAGACCGGCTGGTTTTGTTGTTCTAAAAACACCGGAACTTCTGTGTTTACTGAAGGTAGAAAAAAAAATGTAAATCAGTAAATCAGCACATGACAGCTTACCAACACGGATCCAAGCTGCGCTGCAGCGGTTCACTTTGCCTACGGTGCTGTAACGATGTGCAGGACATTGTGCTGGACCTCTTGTCTTTCCTACTGTAGGACAGTTTGACCACCGTGTTGTGTCCATCCGTCTCTGCCTGACACAGAGTTTCCCGTGCTCACGTACTCTCCACATTCACATCTGACTCTAATATAAAGCACTTTACAGAAGTGGTGGAGCGCGGGCTTCACATCACAGACGTGCAGCTGACAGGACAGCAGCAGAGACATGTGATGCTGTCTGTCAGAGCGGAGACACATCTTTGTCTCCAGCATCTTCTTGGGCCTGTGCCATGAATAACAGGGCAGTTCTGGTACATTGACTAATGAAGTAGCCTGTGAGGGAGGACCTCCTTTTTACATTCACACACCCTGAGAGTACAAACTTTAGTGATATTTAATTATTAGTAATATTTGTTTTGTTTTTTGCTGTATAATTAGTGGATTTTAATCCTTCCCTGTGTCCCATTGGCCTGAGAGTATAAAATTATCTTCAATCTTTAGGAAATTCACGTTTAAGATATGAGTAAAATGAAGTGAATGAAAACCTTCCGAGCTGACGTTCTCTTCAGGTGAAAGATTCCAGATTAGCACTCACTCTCTGCTGGTTTAGGGATTACGCTGCTTTATGTGTAGAACGTAGTCTGGTGTGGACTAGAATCCTGCTTTTAATGTGTGTTTGTGCCTTTAGCGTCAAAATGCTGAATGAAGATTACATATATACAGACCGTGTCAAGTTAGATAGGAAATAAATGAAAGGTTGTTTACAGAAAACGTGGCCAAGGTCGTGCTGGAGAATGTGGCCTTTTATTTTGAGTTGTTTACTTGAATCTCGTGATGCCTTCAAAAAGTTTTCTTTATTGCCCTCTGAATAAAGAAAGTCTTTATAAATGGAAAAGAATGGATGGGATTTGTGTCCTTAACTATTTCTTTTTCAAAATGGAAGAAATGTTGTTTTTTAGAGCATCTATTTATTCTTTATTCTACTACTGTTTATCCGTTGTCAGGGTCGTATGAGAAGTTTACACTGTTTCCAAAAACGTAAACAACAAACCAGAATATAAACCACTTTACAAACATTCTGTCAACATACTTTAAAGTTCGTAAGTTCGTCTGTGTTTAACATCAGATGAGAGGTTTTATTCAGACTTTAATTTCGACAATTTTACGTCCGTCCAAATTTTGGCTAAGCTATAACAAATCCCCGGCGTCTGTTAACTACTTGTTACTCGTGTCATTGGCTCTTTACCGTTTGAGTTGCATTACTGCCCCCTAGCGGGTGTATTTACCACTATACGTTTCTATCCAGACGTCTTTGCCTTCGGCAACAAAATCTGTTAGTTTTTACATTTGTCGTGTGGTTCGTCTTTTTACGTGATCTCTGCATACTTCGCCTAATTAATAAGTTAAAGATAAACATAAATGGTGGTTAGAGTTTTGTGTTGTTGTTTTCTTTTTCACTCCTTCCTCTTCAGTTTCCCACTGAGTGGTCCGGCATCAGAGCAGTTCAGTGTTGAGGAGAACGAGACTTCTTATTCTGGAAAGATCCACCACCATCACCGACGACACACACACAGCCAGGGGACGCTGTGTCACGCACACGTCAAGAACAGTGAGTGTTTTACCCCAACCATTTCCACCTCTTCTCTCTAACATTCATGAGGTTGAACTTAGACTGGAAAGAATTAATGGCACCTTCAGGTCAGCTGTCTTTCCTTTTGGACCGGAAGTCTTTAACAAATGGTCGGTCCGCTATAAACTCATTTTAATCGCATCAAAACATTCCACCGTGAATCTGAAAATATTAGCATTCAATCCAATAATGATCACATATGTATTTATTTCTCTTATTTATTCATTTATTTATGTATAATAGTTGTATTTCACATATTTTTCGTGTATGGACGTCTGTGCTGGCTCGAAGTGTAATAATAATAATAATAATACTATAAACTAATTTTAATCGCATCAAAACATTCCACCGTGAATCTGAAAATATTAGCATTCAATCCAATAATGATCACATATGTATTTATTTCTCTTATTTATTCATTTATTTATGTATAATAGTTGTATTTCACATATTTTTCGTGTATGGACGTCTGTGCTGGCTCGAAGTGTAATAATAATAATAATAATGACAATTACCTTCACTTATATCACATGTTTCTGTTTTGTTTCATTTCAAAAGAGTTTCATTTGAAATGTTGATTTTTTTTCTCCTATTTTTTTCATTCCTGATTTAATAACACGTCGTTTAAATCCATTTCTGTTTCTGTCAGTTCTGACATTTTCCTCCATATTTTTAAAACGACCTCTTTGTCTGTGTTAGAACGTCAGGTTCCTCCCTGTCCCGCAGATGCAGATGAGTTTGACATCCCGCACGCTCTCCTCAAAGCTCTGGAGTCGGACGGTGATTCTCCCCCCTGGCCCTCCCTGCCCTCCCTTCACCTCAACATCGACAACAAGGTCAGACACATCCCCGACCCGCTGCCCTCCCATTTCAGTCACATAATGAGACGCTGCCCTGCTGTGGTTTTTACATTTCTGCTCCTTCCCTCTGTCAGGCCGAGGAGAAGCAGCTCTCCGAAAAGTCTCTGCACCCGCCTGTCTCTCCTGCACTTCTCCCTGATCACCTTAAATGCAACATCCTGAAAGCCCAGATGGAGGCAGCCTTCAGGGTGAGTTGATTACACTCACTGTTAGCATGTTAGCTTTCCTGTGTGGTAATATTTAAAACCAGAAGCTGAGGACTGATTTGTGTTTGTCTTTCATTTTAAAGAAGGAAGTTCATAAAACACCGAGAGGGAAAAACTCAAATGAGACCATCAGTGACAGGTGAGTGGGCGGCCCACAGATATTGTTACAGGGTGACTGACCAGCAAGGGGGTGTCAAACATACGGCTCATGGGCCAAAGCCTGCTCGTTAGGGGGTTCAATCCGGCCCCCTTGATGAATTTTGAAGTAAGAAATGGACAAACGCTTCATGTTCATGATATTTTTTGTAACAACATGGATGGATGCAGGGCTCGCTCAACCAAATTTGGTGCCCTAGGTGAGATTACTTGCCCCCCTCCCCAGACACCACACCAACAAACCTACACACACATATAAATTTGAATGACTGTTGGTGCCCCTCCAGCAGATGGTGCTATAGGCAACTGCCTGTATCGCCTATACCAAGGGCCAGGCTTAGATTGGTGGATGGATGGAGGACAAATAGACGGATGGAGGACAGACAGCCGTCTCGATGCTGCTGCCACACTATGGTACAACTTTACTTTAATTCAGGTCCATGTTTTTCTCCAGGCATCAAAGCTCGTCCCAGGACTCTGCTGCCTCCAGCCTGACCGCAGAGAAGACGCCTCAGTGGCAGGAACACAATCCGACCCCAGACAGAGGTCACCCTAAAGCCATCCCGAGCTCCAACCGCAGGAAGCGGCTGGTCAGGCAGTTCAGCTTGTGAGTACACATCCTCTGTGATTACTGTGTTGGAGGGCGTAGCTCCAGCCTCCTGCTGCGTGAATGAGCACTCACAGAGGTTTTAAAGAACTATCACTGCTCTTTAAAAACCACTGTCTGTTCAGAACTGGGTGCGGGCCGTGTAAGTCATTCTGTCTGCTTCAATCTATTACACATCAGTAACCATGAAGATGAAGATGATCTCCCAGAAGCACTTGCAGCCATCTCCTCGGAGTGCACTGGAAAAGCCGGCTCTAGCAGCTCACTGGACAAACAGATACAGCCGTCCATTTACCCACAGGTAACACACACACAAACACACACACACACACAGACTGCAGCCACATGGAGATATGTAATGTATTCCCTAGTGCCTTAACTTGGTGGTTTCAAAAGTGAGGGGTGGGACCCCACAGAGGCATAGTGATTAGAAGGAGGCAGAGAAAAAAACCCAAAACGTAATTATTTGTTATCTGCCCTATAACTCGTAAACGTAATTATTTGTTATCTGCCCTATCGATACGGAAACAAAATATCGTGATATTCGTGTATCGATATTTTCTTACACCACTTAAACATATTTATATACACTTTATATATTATTTCAGGTGGATAATATGCCAGCCCTGGAGCTGGGTAGTCCCTGCTGCCCCTCTCCCTCACCTTCTCCTCACCTCTCTCCCTCCTACTACCGCAGCTCCATTCCTCACCTGGTTCCTTACCTTGCCGCCCATAACGACAGGTAACTCACGACTCGGTTTTTACTGGGTTTATTTTCTGTGTGTATGTGTGTGTTAGCTGTATTTACAAATGTAAAGAAGAGTGAACCTAACCTCACTGACCCCAGATCTGTAACCTGTCTTCAACAGTGAAGTGACGGCCTTGAGCAAGTCAGTGAGAAGAGAAGGGATGTAGATTATGTAGAATTATTTATATATTTGTATCTTAATCTGGAGCAAATGTGTCTTACTACTTAGTCTTGACATCAAATTCAGACACGTGTGTGTGTGTGTGTCTGCAGCGGAGAAGAGATGAGGTTGGACAGAGAGAAGATCCTCAGAGCCCTGCTGATGACGGAGCTCTGAGACGCTGACCTCTAACCTTTCGGACAGAAAAGGCCGACAGTGAGGTGCCGGCGTCGCTGGCTTTAGTCCACGTTTGTACATTGGCGTAGATCATTCACACTGACAAATCTATATTTGCATAAAGACAATTGTATCATTTGCTACATTGATATTTTAGACGGATGGATCTCTATTTTTTGGCTGGGTGAGAAAGAACTAAACGGACTCATTAGTAAAAGCAAACGCAGACAGACTTCGGTCGGACCAGCTGCTGCCTGCATGATGCAAATGTGTTGCAAGATGAAAAGTGTAATGCGACGGTATCATCACTGTGTCGTCACGGACGTCTAAACTGTGTCCGAGACTGCGACTGTTCGAGCATCGAGCTCCACACCGGGAACACCAACAGAACCAACACTGCTGAATCAACTTCCATATCAGTTTGTTCACCATGTAAATAGAAATATTTATCCACATGCTAACGCTGGAGCCTCAGTCAGTGGAAAGGTCTGATCTTTTCACTCTGAGCTCTGCCGTCATCTGTCATGACGAACCACCTGAGGCATTTGGGGAGGAGGAAACTTCACAAACACAGTTACCTGAAAGAGACTTTCCCTGTGAAGATACACAGAACATGTAGCTTATCCTGTTTTCCCCGCAGGGGGTGCTGTAACCACAGCATCAAACACCTGCGTCATGAATTGATGTGTGACTTTTAAGTTTCTTAGGAGTCTAACCAGGTAAATTATTGAAATATTGTCAATAATGACAAAATACGTTTTTTTTTTTTGTTGTTTTTTGTGGAGACTGGTGATTACGATAACAAGGCATTCTCTCCTGGTCTAACATTGAAGATACTGTGATCCCGCAGCTTGTTCTTGATTAAAAATGAAGAATTAAAGATGACTGGTCAGAGTGAGTGCTAGAATACATAATTTACGTTAGCTTTTTGTTTTCCACCTATCGAGAACTCTAACAAATGTTCCTTTATTTCTTCACGAAGAGTAGAATTCTACGGAGCCCCTGAAGAGACATGGGGGGGAAAAAAACGTTCTTGTGCTAACCTGTAAGTTTCAGGTGAGAACCAGAAACATTTATTTATTTATTTATTTATCCCTATGTCTCTTAAGGTGCTGCTGTATGTAGAATTTATATTTGAATAAATGCCTTACATAAGCTTGACCCTGTTTTACAGGCCAGCACCATTGGCTGTTAACACAAAAATAAATGTAAAATTGTCCGGTGAATGTGAAGCTTGCCCACTGGGGGGAGACAAAACCTGTAATCTTGCAGGTTTTGAAAACACTGCTCCGTGTAACGAATGTTGACTGATTTTGAGCCGTACTGGATCACGGTCGGTGTTTTCATCTCGGGTCAAGTGGAACGATAGTCTCACGTGTTCTTTCATTTTAAATGAGTTATTGCCTGACGCAATCCTGCTGCTCAACAAGTTTTATCCCCATTGTCTGAAGTACTTCGATGTCAGCCGCGTTTTATCTGCAGCTGTAATGAATGTGTTGAATGAGTCGTCCCTGGATCATAATAAAAGCCTCATCACGGTCTCTGACAGAACCGTGGAAGCATCTTTGGTCTCTGCACTGACATGGGAATGTGGCCCGGCCTCGCCCTGCGTGCCTGTGTGTGAAGTGTCAAAGCAGCCTTCACCCACCCTCTGAGGGAATGCTATTGAATGTAATAGAGAATATAACTGATTTATCTGCCTCCACAAACCTGTTACACTGCACTGTGTATAGTATTACTGTACTACAAGTTTTTAGTTTTCTATTTCTACTATGGTAAGTATTTTGTACAACAATAACTGGATATGTAAATTATTTTGCGAACAGCAAAAAAACAGCCAGGATGATCTGTGGTGTTTGTGTGCTTCGTTTGCATGCGTATGAGTTGCCATGTTCAGAAATGCCTTGTGAAACCAGTTTGAATTTTGAATTTTGAAAAATGTCTCAGTTACATCGACTTTAGACTTGTGCTCTTCATAAACTTTCTATAGATCTGCATTAATATTTTAACAAATTAATTTCAAATATTTAAAGACAATTTATTAAGTTAAACCAAACTGGACTTTCTGTAAAACTTACAAATTTATACATCTATAATTATCTATGCCTTAATGACATTGTGGCTGATTTATATATTTTTAAATGTTGGTATTGAGTATATAACCGGTTAGGACCGATCTGGATTAGTGCTGACAATAACATTTCTCTCTATTTCTGGCAGCTCTGACATCATCGTGATTAAAGTTAAAGACCAGGCATATTTTGGGATTTTCAGCCTGGCTATTAACGATGTTGTCATGCAGGTTAGACGGTATACCTGTTTATAAGAGGGAGAATGAAGGTGAGTTTTAAAGGGATCAGTTTGGGTGGGGTGCAGCGGATTGTGTTACACAATGCTAAATCTGCCCTGAGGGGGTCAGACGTGGTTTTGTCTTCACCACCTTCCTGCTTTGTCTCTATGCTTCAGTTTTCCACCAGAATGGACCATCGGCTCACGTAATGAGTCCAGTGTGTCTGGGTGACAGTGGTGTGAATGTGGGAAAGAGAGAGTGAAGACAGTGAGCGTGACATCACTCGGCCTCACCTCCAGCCATGTCCTGTCATCAACAGCTTCACCAATGACAGGACAAAAGAGCCTGAGAAGGTAAACAGTAAAATAAAAAACAAACAAGTGGAGACCGGCAAACTTCATGTAAAGTTTATTGATTTTTCAGCACAGCTGCTGGAGGACATCCTGAGCAGGAACTGGAAGTTTTACTGGAGGTGTGTACAGCAGTGTTACCGAAGACACACGTCAGAGATGACCTTTATTACCTTTCCTGCTCAGCTTTCCATCCACTCTCCGAAAGAGTTTCATTTTAGGGGAACCGAAGATGGAACCTCTGTAGAAGAACCCACTTATTTCACAGGAGAGGGTGGAAAGAAGACAGGTGGGTTGTAATGAAGGCCATCTGGGATTTTCCACCCAGTAAGATAAGAGCCTGAGTTCTGCAGAGTATTGGTCAAGATGAAAAACTGTAGCCAGGACCTGGGTCACTGGTAAAAACTAGAATGTCCACTTTTGGTTGGGAATCCAAACATAACGCAGAAAAAGATTGGCATTGAACAACATGAAAATTGACCCATACAGGGTGTGTCAGGACATCTTTGCACAGAAAACATTTCCAGAAAGGTTGGTACATTATCTAGGTCATTAAAAAAATTATCTTTAATTGTAAGATTTGTAAATTACTAAATTCTCTAATAATGTTTGCTTAATGTGTGTAGCACACGGTGTGGTCACCTGGGTTGGCTTGCGATGCTTGGTTTTACTATTTTAGTCCAAACTTTTAAATTACGCTGTCAAATAAAATTGCATAGATGATGGGGATCAGGAGAAATCTTTGCACCTAGGGGTGAAAGGCAGAACTGCTGCTACATGTGCATGATCTTCTTCGGCCATCTTGGTGGGTGGTTAGCAGTTAGAGGGGTGTACTAACTTTTCTGGAAATGTGATTTATCAGTATCGTCTGATGCCAGAGTTTGACAAACTCACGGCGTAACATTTGGAGATACTGCTGTTTCATTCGCGAATATTGTTATTGATTAGCAGTGCATTGATATTTGGCAAAAATGTAAACATCTCGTTTTTCTTTACTACTGAACTTCTTCATGCACTAAAGCTTTCAATACAATCACTATGTACCGTATCAAATGTATATAAACATAACATGCGAGTATTTCAAAACATTTAATTACAGCCACTCATAATACTCATCCTCGTCGTCGTCACACTCACACCGTTCACACACACTCTTCACGGAAAAGCTCAGGAAGAAATTTAGCTCAGATGCTACTTGGTCATTCTTCTTTAGTTTGGCTAGCACATATATGATAATGATTATAATATAGGGATGTCCGATATTAACTTTTTGCCGATATCTGATATGCCAATATTGTCCAAACACTTCATTTCCGATATCAAACGATACCGATATGAGCCTGGTAATATTTATCTGTACAAACTACTGTGGGAGTATGAGAGCAATTAAATGAGCTGCAATTCTGCCATCTAGTGACTTTCACTTTAATATACAGCCGTTTATCCCCAGGCATTATGTAATATCTGTAAGAATCGTTATAGAATCCGATAATGAAAACCCGATAACAATGCTTACAGACATTACATAATATGCTAATATCAGGCCGATATTATCGGACATCCCTATTATAATATCTTAATAATAACTTGTTTCTTTAAAAAAAATCATTATAAAGCTTTTACAATACACACTGTGCAATATAAGACAAAACTGCTATTTTTTTGGGTCACAATGATTTTGGTATAAAATACAATAATTTCTGTTCTTAAACATATAAATAACACATCTAAAAGACTATTTTAAAAAAAAACTAGCTAACAATACATCAGATGTCACTGTCACATGACCTTGGTTTGTCTGTGACCCTACAGCAGGGTCAGGTCCAGGTACTGTCCCGCTGGCTTGGTAACCATAGCAGGAAGGGACATGAGAGCGTCACCTCCACTGGACTGACCAATCAGACTGCTGCCCAGGAGAGACGTCGACTCCAGAGGACTCTAGAGAGAGGGGGACAGGACAAGTGAAGATGTGAGGGTGAGTCGGAGGGGGAGAAGAAAAGCACAAAAAGAGACAGAGATCACAGACACACACCAGCACCACAGGTCACCCACCACCCTTTAATCACTCCAGGCCTGGACCTGGAGATCGCCACCTAATCTACATGTACTACTACAGCGCCACCAACTGACTGATTCACTGTGTAGCTGTACATGTCAAGCTTTCTTCTTTTGGCTTTCCCACACCCACAGCCCCTCATGTCAACACATAAAAAAGAAAATCTAAGAAAAGGGAAGTAAAATCATAAATCAAAACTTTTCCCCACTGGCAGATTTAAAAAAAGTTGAATTAGTTTTAACCAGCTGCTACAGTAACGCCACTCCCCGCCCCCCCGGGGCTGCCCTCCCACTGTTGCAGTGATATTTACATAACTGTTTGACTACGTAGTTATGTAACAATTTTTAAAAAAAAGTTTGTTTACTCCAAAAATAAATTTGCTTTTGAACCTGTAGAGGTGGTGTTGAGCAGAACAGAACACTATCACTTAAATATAAATAGACAGGATGGGTCGGTTTAAGCACATTAAGAAATTCAAAGCTTGACATGTCTGCTGTCAGTCGTCATCAAAAATCACTTCATCCGTAAACAGGTCATGAAAAAGTCAAAGAAAATCCCTTCGACCGCTCGACTGTGTTCAGACTGTAACTACTGATGCGTGTGATCAGTGGAAATATGGAAAGGGCAACATTGTCTTGTCGAGTGCTGTGACCCACGCACACTAGTGACCCGTCCAGAACCCAAACCACAGACACAACCACTCTCAGAACTCAATTGCCCTCGGTGAAACCGCAGCCAATCCTTACCTGCCACCTGCCTCAGACACCTTAAATACACACCCATTCTTTGGGCTGCGTAAGCAGTGTCCTGGCCGGGTCGTGAGCGTGCACGGGCCCATGGGCGTGCATGAGAGCCTCCTCGGGAGTGTACTGTGGTGTGAGAACCCAGGGGGAATGACAAAAACAGGGGGCTGAGACAAAAGCATCTGCACAAACTACATGACCTACAAAACCACATGGAGGTGACAAATAAAAACATGTATAGTATGTCTTTCATGAAACGCTCAGTCTTCGTTATTTATCGGTCAAGCTAAAGGCTGTAAATCCTCTCGTGCATCATATCCATGGGATTCTCGACTCTCTTTTAGTTTTATTTAAGGCTCAGGTTCCTCCGAGTCAAGTCTAAGCAGGCAGCAGTGCCAGAGTGACAGAAGAGGGAGAGGAGACGGGATAAACTCGTTTGAGAGCCTCTGGGCAAACACACAGGCAGCCTGACAACACACACCCACGGTGGAAGCAGATTTGAATACAACACTCACAGGGAGCCATGTAAATACGGAACTAGCGAGCACTGACACGGGGTCGACTACTAGTTATCAAGATACCAGCAAAGTTGTGTGTTCTCACCTGGTACCCCTGCACTGCGTTAATGAGCTCTTTGACCCCGCTGCTGCCGTAGGTCAAACCCGGCATACGCACCAACCCCCCTGGAGAGGAGAGGGAGGAGGGGGAGGGGAAGAATCCTACGGTGGTAGGTGAGCCAGGAGGACTGTGAGAGGGGTGAGGGGTGAGACAAAAGGACAAAAGATTAGATGTCAACCTTAAAAATATCTAAAGAAATTAAAGATGCTTTTGTTGAATGTGTTCTTGTGTTGGCAGGGTTGGACTCTGGTGACCTTCTCAAAGACTGAAGTATTGAGAGAGAAGAACAGCGGCGGCTGATGTTTACCAGGTTCTCTGAAACACTTCTGTTCAGTTATTAACTGCCCTTGGACCAAGTTCTCCCCTCAGTGAGAAATCCAAGCAGAGGTTCTGTTTCTCATATTTGATCAATCAATGAATATGAATCCTACTTATTGGAATGTGTTTCCCAAACAGCCACCAGTGAAGTATAATTCCTACAAGATCAAGGAGTCGAGAAAATCTTTGTTAAATCTAAATTTGCTCAAAATTATTCTTACTTTTTTTTGTTTGTTTTTTTGCTCTGTATGGAAACTGACCTGGTTGAGCAGCAAATGCAACCAGAAGTTAAAACAAAACCAAACTGCCACGTAAAGTTTCCTCTGTCATTTCCTTGTGTTGTCAACATGAACACATTAACTGCGTTAATTAATCTGTGAAATTTATCACAATAACACTTTTTTTTACATGTTTAACCGCACAGGCAGAATGCACACATTGTTATTTATACACACTCTGCGGATAATGGTTTTTGTTTTGACTGAAGCAGCTCATGCTTTAAATACCACCTCATCACCCAGCATGTGTCAGTCGTCTACGGTTGACAAGTTGTCAAATACATGGCGTGGAACCGTAGAATGGCTTCACTGAAGTTTTGAAAAAGAAAAAAACTCGACACTTTCTACAAGTCACCGCCAGGATTAACAACAGTGACTAAACTCAAAACACTGACTCTGTGAAGAAAATGCCATCAACAGGCGTGAAACGCTGACATCTACCTGCTGCAATTTATTAATCATGATTAACCATGACTAATCCACAGCTGATTGTTTGTTGCCAGCTGTAGTTTTCCATCAGTGTGCTGCAGGCGTAGATTCTTACATTTGTTAACAAACAGCAGAGCCGATGTAAAGATTTAAGTAAATAATCAAACCACAAATTTCAGCCGTAACTCCACAGTAGACCCTAACCTTTCTTTGACTTAAGTTTTGTAACATGGTTTTTTTTTTTCAATGACAAAGACTAACAACTGTTCTTCAACTTAAACAGGAACGGTGAGTTAAAGGGCGGTCGTATCAACCACAGCATTTAACCTGTTATTGTAAATGATGTTCAGAGAAATCCATTTACGATTATTACACATGCAAACAGAGTTTGTTATTTTGTTTGCAGACTCGGTTACGCCATGTGGCAGAGTAAACATCACCTCCGAAGCTCTAAATGTTTTTATTTGTATTAGTTAAAGTGTGTTTCGTCTTATCATCTCGTTTGATTATCGCGTGCAGAACATCAAACTGTTTGGGGTTTGACAAAACCCACAGTACAAATAAGAATACGGATATTTACAGTAGTCAGCAGGATTCAGTACATTAGGTATTTAAAGCATATGCAAAATATAGTCCCTATAGTCTATAGTATATTTCAACAAGACGGGACTCGGCATACCTGGGGTAGTAAGCTGTGTAGTTCATGTATAGCTGAGCTGTGCTGGGGTAGTAGGCATGTCCTGGTGGGAGAGGCCGATGGGTCAATAACACCTGACCTATGGGAGGGTAGAGGGCAGAGGCGGCGGCCTCTGTGGGGAACACAGGCTGTGCAGGAGTGAAGGAGTACGATGGGGGAGATAAACCTGGGGGAGAAAAGCCAGAGGGGGAAACAATGGATTTAAAAATCACTCAAAACAGGCAACAGAAAAACCCATCATCCCTGAAGTTGGGGTCTTCTATATTGTTTACTATAGAATGAGGCGCTCTAACAAACTAACAGGTTGTGCAGCGCAGTCTTAACTAAAATGAGGAAGTGTTCGCTGACCCTGAAGGTAAGTACAAGTAGGTAGTAGTCAGTACTCACAAATGTCACTTCATTCGTTATCAATTAATTGCATCGTATTTGTAACTCTTTTGTCCGTTAGCTTTTTATTTTGGGACTTTAGTTGAAAGAAGTGTTGGCAGTGTAAAGATAAAATGGTTTGGTCAACAATACTTGTCCTGTTTATACTAGTAGGTTAAAAGGCATCTAATGCTCTCAGAATATCATTACAAGTGCAATGCAAGATGAATCCATTCTTTTGATTCCAGATGTTAGTGAAGGTAGTTTCCCTTTCTATTTAAGTCCATACCCCTCCAACCATACGTCCAACCAACCAACACAGTTGACCACTGGGGTCACTGCAGTCATGTGACAGGTTCAACAAAGACCCGCAGAACCGATGAGACGAGCAGTAAATGGTTGTGATGACCCAGCACCATGCCAAGCATCTTTATCCAAGTCTGGACAACGATGCTGTCACTTGAATCCCTCGTCACGATGTCTCGTCTGGAGTCTGTCCTGGTCGATCCGGTCATCTGTGCCACAGACGTACTAAGACATGGGACCAGGTCTGGTCCTAATCCCAGTCTGAAGCCACCGAGCAAATGGAGGTATGTGACGTCGACTGGATTAAACAAACGCAGCAGTGTCCTGCTAGAAGCACGTTCATTTTGCAAAGTACTTGTAATGATACTATTTTAGCACGAAAAAAAAAAACAGTCTGGAATCTGCCTCCAGTGGTCAACTTCATACGAGCAGGCAAACAGGACATTCAACAGCTCTGTATGTGTTAGGAAGTTTTTTTCTTTAGTCAAACATGTACCTACAGGTGTTATTAGTTATTTCAGTTCTTTCAGTCAAGCCAACAAAAGTTACAAAATAACCACCCCGTTTGTAAATTTACCTACGCATTTTTCATATATGCTCTGTACCTTCCATCTAATCAATATTGATTTTGTTTTGTTTCAACTTAAACACTGAACCTTTTCCCTCACTGTCATCTGTTTATTTTGATCAACTGTCAAATGAGACTTGTTTTTTTCATTTTAAAGAGAAAACAAACAAAAAAAACCAAACACTTGACGGCTTTTTAAAAGGCCCCCCGTTTTTTTAAAACGAGTGCTTAATTATAGAAAAAAACGGCTACAGAGACGGAGAACAAAGCACCCGCGTTCAGCTCTGCCCACCTTTCCCACACTTCCTGATTGGACAAGCAGAGGAGACACACACCTAAGGCATGTCAGTCTACTGAGGCTAAAACCCGCAACCACTGTCAATCTGATAAGACCGGAGAGTTGTAAGCCATTTTGTTTTGCTACTTTTTTTTTTTTAACCATGCCAAGATTTTGTCGCTTACACTTTTCCAAGCCTTTCAGATCTCTGTAAATCTGGTGAGAGGGTCGAATTAAGAAGGGACAAAAACATGCTGCTGTTAAGATGGACTACAGGGCGTCATCAGAGTGTGTGTGAAGTTTGAATTAAACAGAAAAAACTTGTCAAGTTTGTTCAGTTCATGCAAATGGATCATTTCGTCACACACAAACACACAGTAAGAGGTTCCCATCTCTTACTCTCTCACACGCACAGCACACACACTTTGAATCCTACTAGTCAGACCAGACCTTAGACCTCATCTTCCCACAGTATTAAGATCAGAGAAAACCCAGCAACCCGGACCCCAGGGCAGGAGCCCACCTACCCGGCAGTCCCGAAGCACCCCAGCTCCCAGCAACACTTACGTCTGGACTTACATGGCGGTGGGCTGAGCCCTGTCCCACTCCTGCTCCGGTTGTGTGTGTGTGCATGTGTGTGTGAGAGCGAGCCGCCCATCAGCACCAGGCCCATCTCCTCAGCGCTGCAGGGGAAGACCTCCACATAGCGGCTGTTTGCCCCCCGCTGGCTGGTCATGATGTGCTTGTGAAGCCGCTGAGAGGCCTGAAGTGCTCGCTCTGCCGTGGTCATCTGGATGAAACAGTCGCCGGATGGACGACCCTGGAAACAGTCAGGGGAGGGGGGTTACTCAGACACTGTAGTAGAAGGCACGGGAGTCTCTCAGTGTGTGTCTCTCTGTGCAGTTGTTGCATGTACCTGCTGGTTGAGGACCATGTGCACGCCATGTGGTCTGATATCATGTGTGAACTCGCCCAGGAAGGTGAGGATGTCCTCTATGCTCGCTGTGTAAGGCAGTCCTCTCAACCTCAAGCAGTCCCTTAAACCACCAGGGGGAGGAAGAAGAGACACGGTGGGGAGGACTGACACCAAAGGAGGGGGGGCCACGGAGATCAGAGGGGCCGATGAGTAGCGATTCAACACCTGTAAATAAATGACATGCTCCGAGGTCAGCATCGACGGGTGATGGAATTTTTATTTTTAGTTATTCTCCTCATTTAAAACAATGCTTTTAAGGTATTTCTTGAGTACTGTAGTTTTAAATTGGCTTTTTTTAAAGAATGGTATTTTTATCTTTAATACAAAAAAAAAACTCACATAATGTCCAATGTATTTTGTGTTCTGAATGACAGGCAGTATTTCCAAGACAAACGTTACGAATTTTATGATCTTTAAAAGAGTTCATGGTAAATCATGGTTATGGTTTTGATTCACTTAGTTTTAACTTTTCGCAGGTAAAACCACAAATGGCTTTACAGTTGATAATATCATATTATCAATATATTAAAATAAAAATTACACACGTTTGAGTAAATTAGCTGAAACAATTAGCTAAATTAGCTAGAACAACCTGAAAGACTCAAAAAAATCAGGGCAGACAGAAACTATTTTTTTAAATTATAACTAGTCTAATTAGGACTCAAAAAAATGAGGGCAGACAGAAACTATTTTTTAAATTATAACTAGTCTAATTAGAAGGCTGTTAAGATAAATTGATCTTGAGATGTTTATTTAAAATATTCCACAGATTGAAGGCTTTGTACAGAGGACGACCTCCTTGTGTTTAATATCTCCTCTAATATAAATATTAACAGATTTAAGTTAAAGGTAGCCGTTCTTAGGCCGTCCGTGTCTCTACGTCTGTTCCTGTGCTTGTTTTGCTCTAGTGGCTGCGTCTCTGACAAATCAATTCCAGACTGTGTGAAGTCGATCACCGTGTCCTGTCTCATGAAGTTTGTTGTTTTCAAGAGTTCAAACTTTGACCTGCTTTGAACCAGAATTTTAATCAACAGTTTTGAACTCATACACCTTATAGATTTAGAAGTACTCATCAGTGGTTAAATGAGCGTCTAAAATGTAACACACACGCACACACACACATTGTTTGTTTTCTTAAAGACTGCTGTAGTGTGTGCAGTTGTTCAAAGTGCTGCAGTGTTGTCTGACAGGAGCTGGCTCGTTGCCAGCAGGACACAAGTGTGTTTGCACTTCTGGAGGGGACCAATAAAAACCACTTGCAGGAGAGCAGCAGGAGAGGCCTCTCTCTAAAGATATGTATGAGCATATGGAGGCGGAGACTTCATCGGTTCACACAGATAAGAAAAATAAATCCAGGTTTTTTTACATGGACTAAAAGGGTGGGGACAGAGAGAAGGAGAGAAAAGCACTTCTTGTTTTGCAGGTTCCCACCCATAATGCCCTACCCCAAAATAATTCCTATAACCAACATGAGAAAGGCCTCACACCCACTCATTGTCACTCTCAGCTGTGTGAACACAAAGAAAATTCCACCCTGTCACTGCAAGACAAAGACATCAAGGTTTTTTCTGAAATTAAAACAATTGAATCTACAAAGCACGGTGACGTACCTGTTGGACTTCTGCAGCCGTACTCTTGAACAACTCAATGTATCGTTTCCCCAGGATTTCCTTGTGCTTCTTCAGTGCACACTGGGCGTGCTCCTCGCAGGCGAACAAGACAAAGGCATCGCCTGTGGGACGTCCATCCGGGTAGTGGACAAACAGAATGCCATCCTTCCCTCCGCTGACAGGACACATGTCTTTGAGACCGTCTTCCGGGGAGAAGAAGCTGAGAACCTGCTCGTGTGTGGCGGTGAAAGGAAGACCCCGCATCCTCACTATGATCTGGTCCTCACGGGACAGGAACATCGCCACCTCGTTGGACGTTCCTGTCATTCACATGAGGACACAGACACAACTCCTCAGCCATAGGTAAACAATTCCAAATGTTCACACACAGTTACGTAATGTTGCATTGAGAGGTCAGGTCAGAGTTCAAATTTTTCGTGACCTTTGGCACGCTGTGGAGTCCTATTGACCTGATTTTTGATTTTTAATTATTGCAAATCGATTGCTGGGTTAATTGAGTGTAATTGAACCAACCACATTCCACTTGGCAATTACTGACATGAACTAACGACACCTTTGCACTAAGTTCAAAGTCGTATCACTCAACAGTCACTCAATCATCATAAACACCACAGTGTGATATACAGACGTTGTACCCTATGGCGACAGACGACTTATTTATTTACAGCACTAATGCCACTACAATTCATTTTTATCTATCCATAAAATGCACAAAATTTAGAAAAATAAATCTGTGCTGCCATATTCTCTGAAATTAGCAGAACCAAGTGTCTGGATTTTGTTCAGTTGACTGTCATGAAATTACAAAGATGACTGCCTGTTTTGTTTTTTTGTAATTGTAATTGCGATCACATGTGCCTTTGAAGATGTTTGTTCAGTATACTTTGTTTTATCAACTCACCTCCGGCTATTTTCAGGAAGTCTTCTCCTGTTGCTTTGTAAACCTTTAATTAAGAAGACAAGGAGTTAGTGAGTACGGTGCAGATCAAGGTCGTCCGAAGACCAATGTGTACGTGACAGGTTTTCTCGACGTTACTCGTTACCTCTATGTATCTGTTGCCCATATGGTGTTTGTGTCTCTGCAGCGCCAGGTCTCTTTGCTCTTCACTGACAAAACGAACCAGCGCTTCTCCATTCCTTCTCCCCTGAGCATTCAGACACAGAGCAGCCCCCCCTCTGTACAACACAACACAACACAACACATTCTATAAGCATACTATATATATATATATATATATATATATATATATACACACATATATACGCATATATATGCGTATATAACATGTAATGTTAATGCTCCATACTTGGCAATGTTGAGTCCTCTGAAGAAGCGAGCAATATCCTGGTCAGATGACTGCCATGGCAACCCTCGGGCTCTGATCACCGTGTTGTCGCACACTTTCTCCATCTTACTGCTGCGCACACACACACACACACACACACGCACACAAAAGTACATTATCAGAGCTGAAAACAAACAATCATATTTATCTTGGGTAAACTTTACTCACCAAGTTCCAGTCTCAAACTTTTCATTAACTCGCTCGGGAGTAGAAAAGGTGTGACCTGTAAGTGGAACAGGACCACGTTTAGTTGGAATTACTAATTATTAATTAACTTTCATGGAATACATTTTTGGCTTAAAAATGTTTTTCATTGTCTTTAAAAAAGACTTGTTAACATTGTGTTACATGTGAGGTAAAATTCCAAAATGATGCTTGGATTAAAAATTCAAATATACAATACAAACGTTCCGAGCAAGTGTACTGGTGGTAGAACTTACAGAATGGTTCAGAAAGCAGTGCGAGGACGATGTTGGACATAGTCTGGACCTGCTGTACTGCAACTGTTGCAGGCAAGGTGGCTAAAGGATCTTGGGTAGATGAGGGGTCCCATGCGGGGGGCAGATCAACAGGTATACTCAGAGCTGAGGGTGAATCAGTCAAGGCACAAAACACAGAGCAGTGGAAAAGTAAAAAGAGGAAGTGTCGGCGTATGAAAGCGGATGACAAACAATTTAAAGAAACCTAAACACAAAATGACTTACACACACACACAGAGTTGTTAGCTATCCTGTTCCAGTGGGCGTGTGTGTGTGCCTTTATCTTGCTGGCTAAACACACACTTACCAAGAAACACACACTGTTTCACTGAACACTTGGTAAGGTGTAGTCAGTGTAGCCCCATTTGCATTACAAAACCTCTAATTCTGCAGGCAACAACCCACGGATCATAAACCTATGATGTGACTGCAGTTTCTTTAACCGTAATTCTGCAGATTAGATTACGAAAAGAAAAGAACAACAGGAGCCTGGAGGTTAACGAAACAATAAAATTGACTGACAGTTGACTATAAAACATGACATGCAGCAGCACTAAACACAGTGATGTTTTTTCTCCCCGCAGAGGTGACGTGAAGGATACATTCTGCCATGACATGTACATTCAAAGCCTTGAGGTCGGATGAGGGGAAGTGCTTCTTAAACTCTTTTCGAAGGTCGGTGAAGGAGTAGAAGCAGTCTGGCACCAGGATGTTCTGGAGAGGACAGAAATTATATTTAAGGATGTGAAGATGAGGCCTATAAACACCTGTCACTTTACAGCCAGTGTACTTCTGTTTGTTTAAGACGGCCCAGCTCCCTGTGTAACACTGAATAATGTTTTAAGACACATGGGAGAATTTCATCAGTGTCACTGCGTAACAATGTCTTACCACGCAGTGAACAAGTACGGTATGTGCATGGGCGTGTGTCATTAGACAGGTTTGCAAGATGATCCCTCATCTTTCTCTGTAAAATTAAACTCTACCAGACAAACACGCAGCTAAGGTGACAACATCCCTTTGAGGCTGTGTGTACACTAAAGGCTCCTGTGGCAGCGAGCCCTCCACCCTAGCTCCCAGGCGTTCCCCCAATTGGCTTGCCCACCTTGCTCGCAGCCTCAGGGTGAATCACTTGGCGGATGTGGAGTTGCCCGTCTGTACACAAGCAGACTGACGTGCCTGCGCCCGCGCTGTTTACTTCATTTGTCAGCTGTAGGTGAAACTGAAAGGAGGGGGATAAAAGAGAACCAAACACATAAATGCTAATGTTTTGGTGTATCAGTAACTACAATGTAAGAGATTTTTTTTCAACAAGCTAATCTGAAAGGTTACTTGGTTTAGGGCTGACTCAAAGCTGTTGGATGCAGAGACGCAGTCGGCCTCCAATCTGTTCTCTTCAACTGTCTCCTCTGACACATCCTCCTCCTTCTCCTCCTCCTCCAGCTGCTCTTCCTTTTCCTCTGTCAGGTCTGTGGGGTCAGGCTTTATGTGGAGCTCATTCACCCTGCCCAACTGGTTCACACAAAAAAAAACATGTTTTACTTGAAATAGCAGCCTAGAGGATCATATGGTATTACAGTATAACCGATCTCAAACTAATGAATATCTCAAACATCGATTGATCTGAAAAGTGTTTTCTGTGGGTAATCAATTTCGCCTCCTTTAGACACGTTCTGTTTTGTCATTGCCTGAAAATATTTTTCTAGGTTTTCTTCTGATTGTTCTATGTTTTTCTGGGTAAAAATAGAAATGAAGAGTTGATGTTATAATATCCAAAAAACATGAGAAAAAAAGATAATTTACTTACTTAATAGAGATACACAAATCAAGGTTTAATAATAATAATCACCCTATTATCACAGCACTTTTGTTGAGGAATCATCATTAGGAGGCATATAATTATTTCCACATCTAATAACCATGTCATTACTTCATCAGTTGGTGAACATAAAATAAAATAAAAATTAAACGTTATTCACATTAAGGACTAATTGGCAACTCAAAGGTGACACCGTTGTCGATACATTTAGAAAATGCACACATTTAAGAGCGTCATAAAAACTTTAAAGGCTAAATAATCACTTGACATAATCAGTTGTCAACTTATTGTGTTGTTTATCACTCTGCTTTGAGAAATTGTAATTGAAGCAGCGTAGCTTCTTCATTACACTTTTAGCACAACATGCTCTTTAAAGATTCTTTACTTTACTTTATTCATGGTAAACATTATTTATCTGCCAAGTTCTTGTTTTCTTACCTTTTTAAAAAAGAGATAGATTTAAATTCGTTTTTATATTGCTGTTTTTTTTTTCTACTGTGGTGTGTCTACCTCGGTGTACCTGCTTTCTCCTTTGTTTACCTTCAAATTTTCAGGTCCTCTCGTAATAAACGTTAGCTTTTAGAAATGTTGTGGTATTAACCTTAAAATGCAGTAATTTTTCTTTTTTACCTTTTTGTTCTTGACATCCACCAACTGCCAAACCAACTGCACCAGCTCCTTCTCGTCGGACCCCAGCAGCTCTCCACAGGCGCCAGATGTGGCGGTGAAAAACACCGCCAGGTAGTCTACCTGCGCCGTCATCTGAACACCAGCACCGCTAACTAACTGACTAACTAATAAAAACTACAAGAGAATACTACACTAAACTACACCAGGGTGACAGTGGCGACAAGCGGGAGGGGGGAGGTGAATAAAAAAAGTCTCCACCTGAGCGTAAAGGTGAGCTCCGAGAGTATGACAGTGTTGAAGTGAAACCTCCCGCAGTCACCATCTCACAGTAATGGCTGCGCGTCCCCCCTCCCGTTAAGTACTGCGCCTACCTGTGGGACCACGTGATCTTCTACCTGCTGCCTCTCTGCTCCTCCCCCCTGCCTCCCTCGGGTGCTTTACATATTAGGACGTGGCACCGAAAGCAGCTTGGAAAACATGTTATAAATGTCACCTATCAGCCGTGTACAACTATTCCAAGACTTCCTATAATTCGATTCTGACTGCAGGTCTTTTCTTTTTAAATACCCAATGTATTTCCTCTAAAATACAACAAAAGTTATATGGTGTTTAGGGCCAATGCCTGACAGTGAGCACGTCACCGATATGAGTATTGACCCTTTCTGGATGATGTTTGCATTTTCACTGATGCATGCATGCATCACATTCCTGTTCGTCTTCAGCGTAAGCTAAAAGAAATCGGTAAATGTAAAAATGAGCTTTATAGAAAAATGAAATGAAATAATAAATATGGACTATATAAAATGTAACTGTGGTAGAAAAAACATGCTCAGTGTTAAAAACACAAACAAATACTGGTCACTTCAGGCCAGTATATATATTATGTCACATTATAGGACAAACTGCATTTATACATTTTCTTTTTCCTGTGTCACTTTTTCCCTGTAAAGGTAAAAACTTGCACAAAGTTGTGCAAATGTTTAATAATATTATACATTATTTATGTACTATGTATTCTTGTATATTATGTATTGTAATATTGTACAAAGTGAATAAATATGTAGCTAGTAGTACTATGGTTATGAAACCACTTAAGCACTTAAAAACAATTTGAACAAATTCAATAAAACGGTGTAAACTAGAATAAAATATTTTTCTTTTAATACAAATACCTTGGAAAAAATCATATTTATATTTTTGTTCTAAAAATACAATGCAATTTTACATAATTAAAATAGATGTATTCGTTGGATATTCGGTTTATTATTGACAGTGGATTTGACCCGGAAGTGTCTCCTTCCATCCGGAAGTTTATCTCCGGCCGGAGCAGCGGCAAAGGAAGCAATGGCGGGGGGTCTTGCAACGGAGCTTCTTTTTCTTGATACGTTTAAACACCAGAGTGCAGAGGTGGTACTTTTCACTCTTTCAATACTCTGCTGTGTCTTTTCACATAAAGCGAATGATTTTAATATTTATTTCGTCTACATTGGAGTTTAGCTGCAGTGATGCTCAACTTACAAGCTAGCAGTGCTAGCATTACTCTGTTATACAAATCATTACTGTAAACTTCAGCGTATTTTATGCTTACATAGTTGCGCATGCACCATACTAGTTATATTTCTAAATGTATATTCACTATCACAATCGTGCGACTGCCTAGTTTTGTTTACCTTCTTAAACTGGTATGCTATTGCTGACAAAGCAATTAGATTAATTGAGAGATGGAAGCAAAGAAAAACGCGTTTATTTGTGCAGTTTGAATTGTTATATCAATTGAGATCGATTCTCTCCAGCTAACCAACGTGGATGTGGTGCGGTTTCCTTGCGGCGTTCTGATCACAGAGGTGCGGGTCATTCCTCCAGGAATCAAAGCTCACAGCAACCTACCTGACAGCAGAGGCTTTGGGTAAGAGCTACGGTGCATTTGTACTTTATTTTTCCACGTAGTTAATGTTTAGCAAAGTTAACAATGTTAACTTGTCATCACCGCACACAGAGTAATCACAGGGTAATCTTCAGGTTGTAGTTTCTGAGTTTACATCTAGTAATTATTAAGACGCACAGTCTAAACAGTTAAAATAAACAGTACTGAATCACCTTTCTAAAACCCTTCTCTCTCGAATGTCACAGACACTATATAATATAGTGTAATTCTCTCTCGAAGGAATGGGTAATTATGCATGTCTGTCACAGACACTATATAATATAGTGTAACGTTTACAGCTCATCTACCTAATGTTACAAAATCCTTAGTCGACCTTTAAAGTAATGTGTCAAATTTCTTATGTTTTGGTCTTGATTATTGTACTAGCGTGTAATAGAACAGAAACTAAATGATTATTTAATCTTTCTAAATGTTAGCTTTAAAATTTCAGTTAAGGTAAACTAATGTAAATAATGTTATATACAAATTACACCCAAAGCAGTTAACAGTTAACTCTTCTCAACCAAAAGGTTTTTTTTGTTCAAACTGACTGTTGACAAATTCTGGTATTTAGTAAGAGTGGAACTGAAGAAGGGATAGATGAGGGGTGAGACTTCTTCCAGGAACCAGCTACTACTAAATAAGCTGCAAACCTTCCCTTGTTATGGCAAAAGGATAGCAACATTATTTTTCAGATCAGAAGGTAGAAGAAAAATGTGTCCATTTGGATTTTCTCAAGTTTACTTTTTGCTAAAAAAAAAGTAAACTTGTATATATTATTATTTACACTTGTTTTTAAATGAATTATAACTCATGCATTCATTAGTTTCCCATTTTCATTATGTCCAGCTTTCTAGTTGATTTTTTTTTTTACAATTATTTTTGTATCACTGCAATTCTTGAGTATTTGTTTAAATTCTGCTTTTTAAATGGGGGAAAAACAGACACTGGTATAGAATCCAATCTTGGAATCTGCAGATAACCTGAGACCAAGTGTCAGAGCTTTTTGGCAGAGAAAGGATTGGTATGGGGCTTACTGATTGGTTGAAAATCCTTAGGGTTATTGTTTAGGATCGCCTCTGGAGATTTTTGTTTGCTACAGATACCTAAGATACGTGTTCATAGGAAATAGAGATGCTCACTGTTTGAACAAATGCCTGAGTGAATCTGACACCTGATCTCTATTGTTGAATGAGCCCTGATTCTCACTCAGCCTGTTGGGTAGTGTGTGATGTAATATAAACTGAGTGAATTGTGCTCAACAGTGTAGAAAATGATGAGAACCCGTTGTGACATACATCATTTTACATAAGTTGTTTTCTACACATTTTCTTTTCAAAGAGAAAGAATGTTGGGCTCATGCCATTGATGCCATTGATAAAATGTATCAGGACAACAAGACAACAAACACAAACTTAAAATGTTTTTTTTTAAATATAAACGTTGTTGAACACTGATTTTGTTTTTGTTACAATGGGGAAACTGTAGTAAATCTTGGTTGAAGAGTTCTGTTAGTCAATTGGACATGAACTGGATATATATATATCTATATATATATAGATATAGATATATATATATGCATATATATAGTCATAGGATTGTGAAACTGTATTTATGTTTTTGTGCTTCCAGGGAAACGTCGCCTCATGCCTTCCAGTTGGAGCTGTTTTTCAATAATCTGACTAAACCCAACAGCTCCACCTTCCACAGACTGGGCAGGCAAGAATAACTTTCACCCTTTGCTCTTGTTGTATTGTATTGTGTTGTATTATGTTATGGTTTTTTTTGCCCCTGAGCCTCTTCTTGTTCTCCATCTCTCTGTTCATGTGATCTTGTGCTTAAGTCAGTTTCACCTGTAAAGCCTGTCCTAGAAGCATTTGAACTTTTTCTCTGAGGCCTCGCTGCACCCACCCATTTTCATGTCTCTTTGTGCCTATGCTGGCTAACAGGTCCCTCCAGAAACTCAACCTCACCCACAGTGACTAAAAGTGACCCAACAACTTCGAGATCCTACTCAATTAGAGGAGTGATGGAGTGTCAGAGTCAATTATTTTATTTGCACGTCACAATAACATGAGACAACCAACAATACATAATAGCGCAGCCAAATTTGAGAATGCAATTAAGCCTCTCAGTAGTGACACTGATATAATAATTACTCTTTCTTTTTTATGTTTCTGGCAGCTTCCTCATAATGATCAAAATGTTTAAAGTGTTTCCTTTATGTATTATTTTACAGCAGTCTGAAATGTTAATATTCATTGGGTTGATTTGTTTTGTGGCTGTACTGCATATCCTTTTAATGTCATCGAGACGGTTATTCAAAAAATATAATTAGTGGCATACAGTACACCGGTAAATTAAAAGTTCAACAGCCTGTGGTCAAATGGCACCAGTGTGTAAGTTTCAACCTTCTTTTTGTCTGTGCTCAGTCTGGAGTACGATGAGAACAAGTCCATCGTGTTCAGGCCTAATGGAAAGGTAAACTGCTGCTCACTACACAACACAAAACAAAATGACTCTCAGTTACAGTGTCTTTATTCCTGAATGTTTTAAACATCCTCACATGCAGGTTAACACAGACGGCCTGGTGCTGCGTGGCTGGTACACCTGTCTGACTGTGGCAGTGTACGGTACAGCCGAACGCTCACATGGACACGGCCAGGACTCACCACCTCCTCCACCACCTCCACCTCCACAGCAGCCAAGTGGGCCAAAGAGGATCACTAAACCAGGTCTGTATCAGCTCACAGAGGGTACCACTGTGCCCTTCATATGAAAAAAAAACCCATAATTTTGACATCATATGATCAAGACTTTATCCTCTCCCCCTGAGAGAGTAAAGAGCCAGACAAAGTTGTTGAATTTCTCTGTTTATTATGGGATACAGTTAACATGACATAAGCAGGTGACGACGATGTGGGTAATTTTGTCTGTATTTTTGGAGACCTTTGTTTTTTGCATAACTAAACTGAATGATGGTCCTGGACATTTTACACAAAATTGGCTCATCATTGATGAGTTTTCTATAAAAAAAACTCCAGTCAACAGTTTCCCTTTTTATTCTTATCCAGACCCTCATGTCATTAATCTTCTGCTCTGTTTGTCTATTTAAGAGTGGGAAAAAGATGACCAGTACAACGGAAGCCCACCCAGACCCACTCCCAGAGGGCCTCGCACTCCACCGGGTCCTCCGCCCCCAGATGATGATGAGGAAGAGCAAGTTCAAGTTTCAGGTATGTCATATAGTCCTACTGTTGATGCACTTCATCATTTTAGGGTTTTAGAAACATATTTCTACTTTTACCTTTATGTCTACAGTAATGTTTCAAAGTAGTATTCAAATCATGACATATGTTCGACTTAAATGAAGTTATACCTTTCAACCTTTATTATTGTTTTTGAAAAGGTTTTTTGTCAAACGTAAGCGATAATATCGATCAAACAGATAAACTCTATGTACAAGTTTATGAACTAGTTTTCCAAACTAACGTGTGGGTCATTCTGTGACATTCTCAGTAAGTGTAGTTAAAAATGAGCCGTCCGAGGGACGTGACGACTACCTGGAGGCTGTGTCACCTGAGAGATCCCTGCCTGCCGATGAGGCGTACTCAGATGCCGAGCAGGAGGAGGAAGGAGATGAGGAGGAGGACGAGGAACAAGAGGAAGAAGAGGATGCCCGTACAGAGGGCAGTGCTCCTGAAGAAGAGGAAGAGGAGGAGGATGAGGGTGAGGACGATGAAGAGGAGATGGAGGAAGGTAGGGGAGTTCTGTGTGAGAGTAGGGTTAGGCTACCATTCCAAATGGACCCAGCCCTGACCAGTGATTCTGCCCTTGGGGGGGCCACAGAGGATGGGTCCATTTGGGTGTGAATGACAGTTTGAGAGAGAGTGTGTGCTCTGGAATGCTGTCTGTATCTACAACCGCTGGATACTGAACACCCAAGTAGTCCGCCTGAGCATTTCTGAAGGCTTATGATGGACAGTCATTAGCTGTCATTTGCAGATGTGCCTCACACATACTCAAAGCCATGGCTGAGCTTGTGCTGCAGTCTCATCCTGCATGTTCAAACTAACCCTGCATGTCTGGGGTAATGCTGTTGCCATGTTACAGTAAGTTTTTTAGGTTTTGTATCTATAAAAAGCTGAAAGAATATGTAGAAATCACAGGCCTCCTTATTGGTAGTCCATCGTCACAATCAATTTATAACTTAGATCTGTTTAACCATTACTGATCATAAATCAATGTCCTAACAAATTTTGTCTCATCTTTCTGGGCTATTTCACCAGGTGACGATGGTTATGAGCAGATTTCCAGTGATGAGGATGATCTGGATAATGGCAGCTTTAAGTTGCCTACCTTTGACATGGACTATACCCCTGAGGACCTGGCATCAGTGCCCCCTGTCCAGTATGACCCTTATGAGCGAGAACTGCGACCGCTGCTCTATTTTACCCCTCCTTACAAGACTCGTTTTGATGCTCCGTTTGAAAAGGCCAGTGTGGAGGAGCCCAAGGAAGCTGATGAAAACAAAGAAGCTGAAGTTGGAGAAGAAGCTGGGGCTGTTGCCCAAATGAAAGAACTACTGGCTAGCATCGGTGAAGAAAGAGATGCACGCTGGGTCAGTGCTCTGGAGGAGGCACCGGGACTTCTGGTCAAAGGCTTGGCCTATTTAATCAAACAGGGAGAGGGAGAAGGCGAAGGTGAGGGCGAGGGCGATGAGTCTGTTGGAGTCTTAGTCAAGTGGGCTCTCCAAGCTCTCAGTATGGAAACTGCCCTCACACAGCCTATCGCCGTGAACCTCAGACAATTAAAAGCCGGTGCCAAGTTAGCATCGTGCCTGGCAGAGTGCCCGCAGGGCCTCAAGGTGCTGTTGGGTGAAGGGGCCCTGGATGTGTTACTGAAGCTGCTCCAAACAGACCACGTGTCCTCTACACTGAAGCTGAGTATTCTCAAAGCTCTGGACGCCTTGATCAGTGCCCCTGCTGGTGTGGAGGCCTTTCTACACAAAGGAGAATCAGAGAAGAGTGGTTATCAGGTCAGCAGGAGTTTCTCTTTTTCGTTTTGGTTCAAACCTCTGAAAGACAATGCTAGTATCCAGGGAGTGATGTGGCAATCTGTGTGCATAGAGGCCAAGGGCGGAAACCACTGTTGAATGGGTGTGACCTTTAACCTTAGATTGTATCGTTGTAGAAACCAGGTTAAGGTATTGGATAGACACATCAGTATTGACATGGGACTACTTTTAGAAATCATCGTGATTGTACAACTGTTATTATAACTGATTCTTTAACAAAATTGCCATAATCATGTGGTCATGGTCGTCTCTGTCATTTACAGCGTCTAGTCCAGTTGTTCCTGCGTGAAGAAACGGTGAGGGTCATAACCGCTGGCAATGCCATATTACAGAAATGTCACACCTTTGAGGTGATGCTTGATCTGCAAAATACTGCAGCAGCGTGGAGTGAAACACAACAGGTAGATACCCTGATGTTTGTGGGTTTTTTTATCTGCAAATGAGTTCCCTCTTGACTGACTGTCACCACTCTGGGCAGGAGGACATGGAAGAGGCTGAGAGTCCCATGGAGGAGGAACCAGCTTTGAACTCCTCCCCTGTGAGTGAAGCAGAGCTGGACAGGTTAGCAGGAGTTTTGGAAGAAATACATCACCTGCTGGAGACGGCACCGCACTGCATGGTGCAGCCGCCTGGTAAAGCGTTTCCGACCTCGGCCAGAATAACAGGACCTCAGGAAAAAGATGATCCATATCCCACGCTCTTTAGGTACAGACTTACACAATGAAACTAGGAGGACTTCTCCGTTAACACTAGAAATATAAAGTTGGATGAGTTGATTTTCATCTTTAACTTTGCATGTCTACTTTAGGTACATGCATGCATGCCATATCTTGGAGAGCACCACTGTGGTGTTGTCGGCAGCTGCAGCGACAGGGCACATGGCCGTCATTCAGTCCGTTAAAGAGCTACTGCGCTTCCTGTCACTCACGCAGCCCGGTCTCCTCTTCATGTTGGCTCAGCCCACTCCTTCCAGCCTGCTGCTGCGTCTTTTGGCATCACTGGCAGAGGCAGAGAGTGAGGAGAGCACTTTTCCCGGAGGAGAAGGAGCTTACACGGGTCCCAGTTTTGGGGAAGAGGGCTTCGCCTTTTGGCTTATGCAGGCACTGCACGCGCTGCAGGGTGTTTCAGAACTAATGAGCCACGTGGCTACAGGAGGAGACGGAGGAGCTGGACTGGAGGAAGGTGACAATGCAGAAGTGCTGGGCATGCTCCATGCGCTCTACCTGATGACCTTCTCTCAGACGGGTCGCAGCGCAGTGGCTCATGTGTTTAGCCTGGACAACAACCTTTCATGCCTGGTGACTCTGCTACAGCACCACAGCAAAGATGGACAGGGGTACAGCTTCTGTCTGCTTCTTTCCTAATGTCCTGTTCCTTTCAATGCCAAACATCAGGATAATTCAGTTTTGTTTATTTTGTTGCTATCTTTCAGTGAAGCAAAAGCTCGCAAAGCAGTGACCTATAATTACGCCTGTATGCTGGTCTTACTGGTGGTGCAGAGCTCCAATGAACTGCGGATGATGGAGCAATTCGCTGCACCGCTGCTTGCTTTGGCCAAGGCTGATGACACAAATGCCAAATTGCAGGGTAAATAGTTGTCTCTACAATCTTTAGTTTAACCTTTATTTTAACTGCGCTTGGATATTTGGAATAAATGTACAATGTTTCTGTTCATAGAGCTAGGTAAATGGTTGGAACCTCTGGAGAAACTTCGCTTTGAGATCAGCGTCATTCCCACGCTCATTGACTACATAAAACGGGTACAGTGATCTCTGCCTGGTTGAGTCCTTCTTACGTACTTTACATTTTTTGTTTACAGTACTGCTATACTGCATGATTTTTACTCAGCTCTTCTATGATGTTCCATCTGGGTAAATTATAAATTCTGTGTCCATAATATAAACTTCATTAAGTCAGGATTACTTGAACTAGTTTCATAGCTTGGCTTTTGTGACTCTATTTTCATTCTTTTCATTCCCTCCTTCATTGACTACATATCACTGTTAGACTGCTCTCTGAACGGCAGATCACTATGTATGTACTTTATATTTGTACATGTCTGTAGCAGCAGTAAGTAATTTGTAAATACTTTGAAAGTCTTAACTTTTTAAATAAATTATTTAGATTCCTTATACAACAGCAAACTCTAGGGAGTGGAACCAGTTCTACTGATGCCGTGGCCTCCAGTGTCACCCGCATGTAAAAAAAAAAAAAAGAAAGAAAAACATTAGATACATTTTTCTTGTGAAGCAGTGAACCTGTTTAGATATGGACCTGCTCTGTTACATGCTTGAGTCAAGTCCATATGCAAATAACCAAGGACTTACACTTAACACTTAACCTCTCCTTTTTTTTCCAGAATGTAGAGAATGTGTTGACTGCTGAGGGAACTGGATTGGTCACTGCTCTTAGGGTCCTCAGCCACATTGCCTGCCCCCCTCCAGCTGTCGATGGTAAAGACAGAAAACATTCTGTGTTTGTACACACAGGTGTATATATCAATATGTGTGTGTGTATGGATACAGTATATATATATATGTATATATATATATATATATATGTATATATATATATACATATATATATATATATACATATATATATATATATATACATATATATATATATATATACATATATAAATATATATATATATACATATATATATATATATACATATATATATATATATATGTATATATATATATACACACACTGTATCCATATACAGTTTATACATACGTGTGTGTGGATGGATACATTACCTACTACACAGTTACTTATTATGCAGAAAATGTAATTTTTACAGTCATACTGATTGGATATTTTGCTTATATTTCTGCTCTTGATCTTGCTCCAGGTCAGCAGAAAGACCTTAAGTGGAGTCTTGCAGGGGTCCAGCTGTTCTCTGGTGAGGGTCTGGACACATGCGTGCGTGTGCTTCAGAAGCTATGCAGTGTGTTGCTGCAGCCGTGGCGTGTTCACGGACACATGGGCCCCACGCCACAGCGCTGCATGATCCTCAGCATATGCATCAGCACTCTCAGGTTGCTGCGCACCATGCTGACTGAGCTGCTGCGTGGAGGAGCGTTCCAGTTCAGGGACACTCGCGTGGCCAGCGTGTTGGTGAATCTTCACATGATGGTTTGTTCCATCCCTGCGTCCGGGCGTCTGGATGGCGAGGAGACCCGAGTTCAGGCGTTCATTGTGGACGTGCTGCTCACCTTCACACAGGGCGTCAATGCAGGGGTATGCGAGCATGGAGGTTGGAGGCATTTGGTTTATCCTGTTCAAACTTTGCTAAACAAATTGCCTGTGTATTTGATACAGGTGACTCACACAGAAGAAACCCTGGCCAGTAACACGTGGTCACTGATGTTGAAGGAGGTGTTGAACTCCCTGCTGAAGGCTCCTGAGGGTTTGTTTTCTGGTCTAACGCTGCTCTCTGAGCTACTGCCCCTCCCTCTGCCCATGCAGAGCACTCAGGTACTTCATCTCAGGCCCTAAACTTTGCATTTCTTTCTGGTCACATACCTGAACCGATGTTGGTTTTCATCTTTGCTTTCGCAGGTGATATCAGTCCAAGACGTGGCCGTGGCCCTGAACACAAGGAAGCTGTGGAGCATGCACGTCCGAGCCCAGTGGAAAGTGTTTTCCGAGGTGCTGAGGAGTGTGTGTGCAACCACCTGCCCCCCTCTTTTAGCAATGCTCAGGAGAGTGTGTGTTCAGCTGGCAGACCTGTCTTCAATCAGTGCAACGCTGGCCATGAAGACCCTGATGGAGCTGTTGCTGGAGGAACTGCAGCCGTGAGTGACATACACAAGTCAACTTCTTGTTTTTCCAGGACTGTTTATTATACCAGAAAACTAAGCCTGTCAATAATTTATTATTCAATGTAACATGGCATTTGATCTGACTAAAAATTGACTTGACTCAAAGAATGTTGTAGCACCAAGGTCGTCACCTTTGTTGGAAGGCAAGAATTTTTCTGGACAGACACCTTGTACACCAATATAAACATAATTCTATAAAAAATAGAAATAAAAATAAAAATTTTGTCTTACATTATAGAATAGAAGAATAGTCTTTATTGTCATTGTTTGATTTACTTTGAAATCCAGGTGTTGGCCTGACTGGACAGACTGAATTTGTCCCATGGGCCACCCCTTGATAATCACTGTTGTGGCAGATCTTTTTCCCAGCCTTTCAGTTTTGTACCCTTAAAAAAAAATACACCAGCCATGGGAATCTGTTTGATGTTATGGTTGAAAGTTTGTTTGTATAAATGAAAGTCCATCCATGTATAAACATGCTGGTATGGATGACCCAGTGTGTGACACAGGCCTCTGGGCCTTAATTGTGCTGATGAATGTGTTGTGACATAAATGGTGTCTTTTTGCAGCGCGGAGGCCAAGAGTGTTTGCTGGGCTCAGACGTTGCGTCTCCTGTCACTGATGGATACCCTGGTATCACAGAGAGCCTGTAAGAGCGCAGCGTTGCACCTGCTCTCTGGGTCTGTGTCTGGAGACGAACAACTGGCCGAGCTGTTCCCACTGCTACTGTCTCTGCTGGTCCTTCCAGCTGACCACTGCGTACAACAGCAGCAGTCCATGGAACTAGTGGGAACAATATTACAGTCACTGTGTGACCAGGTAAAACACATGTAGTCAGGTCACATGGTACATACAAGTCCATACAGGGATGAGGACACACCCTAAAATACATGTCTGTCTTTTAGGACATTTCTTTGGTTGTTTGTCCAACTGGTGAAAGTTGTGTATCGGAGGTGGAACAGTTGGCCAACGCACTTCCTGGCAGAGAGATGATGTCATCAGTGTGCAGTGCCTTGATGGAAGTGCTGGGTAACACTGACAGCAGTGTCCCGCTCCTTCTTACCTGCATCAGGACGTTGACATTCCTCTCGGAGCACGACTATGGACTCTACCACCTCAAAGTGTAAGGACGTTATTTCTTATTGTTACCATCAATATTTTTCCTCTCGTTAAGAGTTTTTTTGTAAACAGGATTATTTTTGCTTTTATTCCAGTGCTCTGAAGAAACACGGCGCCGGTCTGTGCTCACTGTTGAAGAGGCTGGTGTTCTCATTCAACAAGGACTCAACAGATCTGCTCTCAGCCCTGCTGGATTTCCTCAGACAGATTCTCAACACTGACCCTATGGCATGTACTTTGATTTTTGGATTTCCAGGATATTCCATTTTTGTATAGGACCATCGTCAAGTCCCATCCATTTTGATTCTCATTAAACATAGTTTAACAACAAAAATTAAATAAATATAAAAAGATATTCCTTGCAGTGGAACAAATCAAGAGAATAATTAAATAAAATTAATTTCCTTGTGTCATCTGTCCATATAATGTTAACTCTGTGTCTCCTGGTTTGGACTCGTACCCCGCTTTAGAAAACACTGATCTAACGTGTGATGTTGTGTTTGCTCTAACCCAGTGTGTTGATGAGGCTCAGAGGTCTGGTGAAGAGTCATCCTTCTCCACCGCTCCACGGCTGTGGCTGTCAGGTTCAGAGATGAAGGCTGTGCTTCAGTGGGAAGAGTCAGAGTCCCATCTGCTGCCCACTCTGGAGAAACAGATTACGGTGAAACTTAAAATTTAAAATGATATAAGACATAACATCTTTTCATTTACATTGATATTTTTATTAACATTCTTTGTTTGTTTACAGAAACTGTGTAATATTAACATTGTCTTTGTTTGTTTACAGAAACTGTGTAAAGAAGATGAATCACTGGAGGGTATTTTAGAAAATGTGATTGTTCTGAGACAAACACTGGAGTCGGCCACTGACACTCCTGCAACTGCTGAGACTGAACCCACTCTGCCACCGCCTGAAACACTTGGAGCTCTGTTTAACCACAGGTACTGTCTCAATCTCTGGATGACACAGTTGTTTACTGTGCTGTGTATTGGGGTAGCTGAATTAAACTTATTTCTTTAAAGTAGAGCTGAAATGCATGAACTCGTGCATCTAGAGGAATAATATTTTGTTTCTTTTTCTGTCGTCACCTGCAGAACTGTGTTTATTCTGTCAGAAGCTCTGGACGAGCAGCTGAAAGCTCTGTGGTTCTCTCCATTCCATACTGATGACATTGAAGCAGACATTGATACGGTGGGTGTGTTTGTGTGTAAAGCAGAGGGTAATTTACAAACAGCTTTACCTTCTGTATCAGTGCAGACCAGGGGTGTCAAACTCATTTTCACCAGGGCCACATCAGCAAAGGCCAGTTGTAAATTGCTCTGTGTAATATTTTTATCAAGTTAAGAAACTCAACAACATGGACTTTATTATAGGGCACTTAAACACTTTTAAAGCTTCTGCAGACCACACAAAATGACTTGGCGGTCCACATTTGTCCTGCACACCTTAATTTTGACACATGATGTAAACTGTTGCGACCAATAAATACCTTGTATTATTCTTGTATGTTCCACAGCTAATTAAAAAGCTTGTTGTAGGGAATTTCTTCAACTTAATCCCAATTTTTTCTGCAGGTGAAGGTGGATCTGGTAGGTTTGGCTCTTGAATGCTGTCCAGAACTGGACCTCAAAGCCGAGCTGGAGCGTTCCTTCCTGTCTGAGCCGTCTTCCCCTGGTCACACCAAAGCTCCCAAAGGCTTCAGGCTGGGCAAACACAAGCACGAGACGTTTATTACATCCAGGTGTCCATTTCAGTTCAGTTTATTTTCCATCAAATCTTTATTTGAATATTCTCTTGTTCAATATTAACACGGTGTCGTCCCTGCAGTGGAAAGTCAGACTACGTTGAGCCTGCGAAAAGAGCACACATCATGGCTGCTCCACGTGGCCGAGGGGGTCGAGGAGGCTTTGGGCAAAACCTCTCACGCCCCCATGATATCTTCCGGCAGCGCAAACAGAACACTTCCCGTCCTCCCAGCATGCACGTGGACGACTTTGTGGCAGCCGAGTTTAAAGACATTACAACCCCTCTTGGACTTTTGCCTCCCAAGCGGCTGCCAAAGAGCTCACCCAAGCCTCCCACCAGAGGACTGTTCACAGGCAACAGAGGCAGAGCCACATTCCACAATCAGACGCGCTTCTTCACTCCACCGCAGCCTAAAAGTGTCCTGCTGTCAGGTAGGTACAGTCAGCAAAAGGTCTTCATAAAAAGGTTAAATCTCTTTATGTCAGATAGTATATTTATTACCAATGACACAATTTAAGGCTATAATTTCAACACTGTGTAAACAATGAAAGAAAAATAATCCATGTGAAATTTAGTCTCAAATAAGTGATGATATCTGACATTAAGTAAAATTTCAGATTTACACGAATTAAAAAAATAATACAAATACCTTGTGTTTATCAATGAACGTGAAGTATTGAATTTCTCGAAAACATCCTCTACTTGTAGAAATTTTAATGGAAAAATAGGAAAGAAATATATAAAATTAGAAAATATTTTAGAAATATAGAAATATAAATAAGTATAAAATGATAAATATGATTATTTATATGTGTTTGTCATTAACTGCTCGACTCTGATTGGATGGTTGTAGATTTTTAGCACCTCTTTACCATTGACAAATGTTTCCTGTTGACACTTTAGGTAACTACCCTCGCAGAGATGGAGGCAGAGGTTCCTCTTGGACCAGCCAAGTTCCAGCAGTCACTCACAGAGGAACTTACAGTGAACCCAGAGGCGGCCAGAGTAACTTTACACGTGGACCTCTGCCTTCCAGGCAACTCCCAGCAGGTGAGACGTGTCACACAGCTCTGTCGTGACTCTGCAGTCACATTTAGTGATCCTAATCTAAACATACACCATCTCTTCATTTTACTTTCGCAGCTACGTATCGCCTCGCACCTCGTGACCGAGCTCCACGGGGGAGAGGAGGTACTGGGCTGCCGTGGCCTAGCGGAGGAGCAGGCGGGGGGGGTGCGGGGGGGGGGGGCGGGGGGTGGGGCGGAGGGTGAGGAAGTGAGACTGAAATAGAAATTTCATCAGTGCTACAGCACCTTTTTCCTCTCTTTTTGCTGCCTGGAACTTTTTACCTTTTACCTGCACATGTACCAGCAGGTCATTAAGACCCTGAAGACTTCGGTCCACTTCAGTGGAGTTCTACCAGAACTGCTCTGGTTCTAAAAGCCAGATCAAAGATCAAAGGTCAATGAGAAGCTCAATCAACTCTCTGTTATGTCCTTTAATTCATCAGTGGAAAACAATAAAAGACCCTCGCTCTGGTCCAGACCCTCGACCTGGTCCAGACCGACGTCAACCACTTGTTCTAATCCAAGCTGAAGAACCAATTTACAGATTCAGTGGAGGAGCAGCTGAGAGCCGATGCTCCACCAGAGACTAACGAGGAAAGCAGACTCGTCCTGCTCGTTAGTCAAGGTCTAGAAGGTTCTCGGATCACATTTGTAAGCAGGGTCCAGTGGAACTGGAGCCGGAGATTAGAACTAATGTGAGATCCGACTCCTCGTTCTGCCAGGAACCACACAAGACGTCAAGCCACAGGGTGGTCCTCTGCTTGGTGTTTTCTTTGGTAGAACGTTAATAAGACCAGACTTTCTAGGAAAATGTCAACTCCTCTTTAAAATAACGATGTCAGACTTTACATTAAACTTTTAAAGCTTTAAAAAAAAAAACACTGAGGAGAGACGTCGCAGCATGTGTCCACAGCAGGACTCCATCGATGACAGGAACTGTTAACAGCACTGGTACCCTCACTCTGTAAAAGAAAAGCGAAAGACGAGCGTCGCAAATATGAAATCGGGGGCGACACGCCACGCTCTGATGAACATCATTTGCATCTGTTTCAAGTCAGAGTTTTTGGTCTCTGTGTTCCGACGGTTGTGCTGTGAAACATCTGTGTCTCAGACCAGACCAGATGAGACGGAGACTCCGATTGTGCTTCCCTCTAAAATGTCAGCCTCCACTCAGGGCCCAGCGCGGTCTTTGTCAAACGTGGCACGTCGGACAAATGAGGCCATTTATGAAACGACTGCGGAGACAGAAATATTCAGAGTCATTTAAAGGCTGGTCCATCAGTGGGGCACTGATCTGAGCCGCTCTAATGCCCCGCTCTTTTCCTACTTTTGCTGTGAAGATGACAATAATCAGATGAAGCTAATTAAATCCTCCTATGTGCTGCTATAATGTGGTGTCATCTGTTCACTGATATTACTTCGCTGACAGGCAGCGGACAAATGTCTGATGTAGGAACCTAATGATGTTCCCTTCCCTAAGCAGCTGTCATCTCCTATCCCTCTGCTCACCACACGACGGATCTTATCTCGTTTTTTCTTTTTAGGTTAAACTGACTATTTAAAGGTCAAATTTTATTTTTTTATTTTTTTGAGGAATTACTGATTAAGGTCAGAGTGAAGCTGTCAGACGTAAAGATATGAAGTGAAATCAAGCAGCGCTGAAGTCGACAGATCAACGCCGACGATCTCACAGACGTCCAACATTTTTTAAATAAAATGATGTTATTACCCTGTGGTGAGTGGTGTGAACGAGCTAATAATATCAGTGACAGGCATTCACGGCCGATCACTTCATTAAAAAGATGAACTCAGACAAGCAAAGTACTTTGTTAAAAAGTACTGAAGTATTTATTAATACTTGTCTAAATGTTTAAGTGAAGCTTCTCAATGATGTCATTCCAGAACAAAGTCAAACTTCAGATTTCTGCTCCTCAGTCCTTGATTCTGGTTCTGGTTCTGAGCCGCTCTGCAGTGATGCAGCCCTGTGTTTGGTTTTTCCATCATTTTCATTTCAAGAGGTCAGAGGTCGGACATTAAAAATGAACTGACTTCTGATGGACTTTTTTTTAATTTCCTTAACATGAAAATCTTTGTAACGTATCTCTGCTGCAGAACACGATGCCACACAGGCTCTAAAAAACAGCATCAGTGCAGCTTATGCAGAGGGAAGAAAAGCCATTTCAATAAACACTCCCTTGACTTTTTTAAAATAGGAAAGAAATATATAAAATTAGAAAATATTTTAGAAATATAGAAATATAAATAAATATAAAATGATAAATATGATTATTTATGTGTTTGTCATTAACTGCCCGACTCTGATTGGATGGTTGTAGATTTTTAGCACCTCTTTACCATTGACAAATGTTTCCTGTTGACACTTTAGGTAACTACCCTCGCAGAGATGGAGGCAGAGGTTCCTCTTGGACCAGCCAAGTTCCAGCAGTCACTCACAGAGGAACTTACAGTGAACCCAGAGGCGGCCAGAGTAACTTTACACGTGGACCTCTGCCTTCCAGGCAACTCCCAGCAGGTGAGACGTGTCACACAGCTCTGTCGTGACTCTGCAGTCACATTTAGTGATCCTAATCTAAACATACACCATCTCTTCATTTTACTTTCGCAGCTACGTATCGCCTCGCACCTCGTGACCGAGCTCCACGGGGGAGAGGAGGTACTGGGCTGCCGTGGCCTAGCGGAGGAGCAGGCGGTGGCGGTGCTGGTGGAGGAGGTGGGGGTGGAGGCGGTGGAGTAGGAGGAGGGAGAGGATCTCAGGGGAGCAAATTCAGCGGAGGGGGCGGCAGTGGTGGTGGGCGGGCCAGACACGTCCGCTCCTTCACCAGGTAACTTCACCTGGACATGGACTGCAGCCTAATAGGGCAACAAATGGACCAATCAGGAAGTCGTATGTATCGTCTCTGTGGAACCACAGGGAGGCGATGTTGTCCTGATGACATACAGACTGTGTGGTGACATTTTAATGTTTTGTTACAAGTATGGAAATAATAAAGATGAGAGTGAGTGGGTCTTTACATTTGTGTTTTTCATGAACATGTGATGACCTGATGGAGAGAGTTTTTACTGTTCTGTTTGGACTGATTTGATGTAAATTAAACCTCAAAACTGCACTGCCATAGACCATCATTCAGCTGCTGACAGTGTCAAGTGTGGTGAGAGCAGGGAGCTGGTAGTCTGAGGAGGTGAAAGTCTGTGCCGGAGAGAAAACGAGTGAAGGTCAGTAAAAAAAAACAACCCACAACTGAATACATGCTTTTGAAAAGTGTGAATAATTAAATTGTGTAATGAAAGTGTGTAACAAAATTGTGTGTGCCCAATCAACCGTTTAATCTTGAGCAGAGTTGAAGGTGAAGTTTTCACTGGAACAGACTGGTATGGCATAGTTGTCATCTTGCATTTCCCATATATAAACACATTTTTAACAAATTCTTTACAGTTTAAAGCAATGGTTCTCAAGCTAAGGTTTGCATTTCACCAGTTGTACTTTTTGCCAGTTGTGGTGGTACTCTAGTACATTATAGCAGTATATGAGGAATACATACTGTATTTTTTGCTACATATACCATTGTCAGCTGATTACCTTTTAGACCTGTGCTCCTGTCTGTCCACTAGGTGGTATTCAATAAGCTTAATAACTCTGGAGGTGATACAGTGTTTACAAACCACAGGTTTAGTAAAACATTAAAACCTTGTAGTGATGACAAATATTTCAGTAGTAGTGCTGCCATAATGACAAAATAATGAATTTTCTGAACCTGAGCAGAAGATGAGAAAACTAAATTGTTTAAAGTGAAAAACAAATACATACACACTAGAATCCACAGATTAACCAGGTATAAAAGAGCAAGTGGTTTAATACACAGCAACACGTTTTTAAAACGAATCCCACTCACTGATGCTTAAAAAAACAACTAAAGTTTATATGCATCAAGTGATGCACTTTTTTTTAACTAATTTGATGAGCAGGTTGGAAATGGTTTCTGTATATAAATTTCTTCCTCTCTCAGATGACGGTCACCTCCCGAGTTTTCCTCTTGATGTTATCCAGGGTCAGACTTCTGCTCCCACCTTTGCGCTCTCCCTCCTCCCTTTTGGGGGGTTGAGGTGGAGCTTTTTCAATCACAGACAGGTGTGAAAACACCTCCCTCTGCTGTTGTCTTGTGTCGGTGTGTTCCTCTGTGGTCTGCAGCGCCCCCTGGTGTTGATCTGTGACTGTTTGGTTGACAGGAATCTGACTCCTGATGGGCTGCAGATCCCTGAGGAGCTCCATCAGTTCCCTCTTCTCCAGCTCCGCTTCCGCCAGCTCCTGTCTTCTCAGACGCTCCGCTCCTAACAGGGCCCGCATGTCAATCATCATCCGGGACAAATGACCCTGTTGGTGGAGCAGAAGTGGAGTTATATCAACATACAACTTCAACTTCTACCACTCCGTCTGATCCAGGATCCCAGCAGTCATTGGGTGAGTATGATTTTACCAGTGCATCACACTTATAGAGACAACTGCTATTCACACTTACATTTATACAATTTAGTCTCAACACAAGAAGGCATGGAAATTTACATAACAATTTACATAATTTACACTGTGATAAACCAGTCACGTCCCATTTTGGCATCACTTTTAATTTAGAAATATGATAATGTTTTCCAAATGTAAAAAAAAAGGGAAGCTCTTTTACAAACGAACAGTTCCTGTGCCTGTCTGATTTAGGGAAGCTCTTTTACGAACAGTTCCTGTGCCTGTCTGATTTACAAATTACATTTTTTTTACCCATACTACTGTGAAAGGGGTTGTTAAAAACGTAATAATTTTGGAATATTAAGTCACCTTGAGTTCCTCCATCTCGTTCTTCAGCAGTGATTCCTTCTGGACCATGTGTCTCCTCTGGGAGTCCAGGCGCGACTCCATCTCTCGTCTCACCTCCTCCAACTTACACAGCATCTCGGCCCTGCAGCAAACATGAATGAAACCAACCGTAGGATTTGCACAGGTAACGTTAATATAGTTTTCTTAGCCACATACACACCTCAGCATCTCCACTTCAGTTCGCAGCTCAGCCACACAGTTGTGCTGAGAGTGATCACTGGAGAAGAGTGTGTGACCACAGCCGTTGGGACATTCTCTCCTGTGGAAGTTGCATTCTGACAAGTGAGCCGCCAAACTCCGCCTCTCCACCTGTACAGGGCAACCTGAGAAAGCGTAATTATGTGGTAAAATACGATGTAAATTATTTTTAACGGTAAAGGTTTAACCTAAGATAAATACTGCACACTTGTACATATACTGTAAAAGTATGTGCTTCACAGTTTTTGAAGCATTCACGTTATCCCAGAATATCAGCACAGCAAAAAGAAAAAAAAAACATCCCAGAATATCAGCACAGCAAAAAAAAAAAAAACCAAAAAAACTACAATGATGATGCTTATTCATGCATCATATTTGTAGTATTAAACACTGCAGCAGCCACACTGCATGCACACGCTCACTGTACCTACCACAGTGGAAACATATGTATTCTCCACCTGCCAATGACAGGTCAAAGTCTCACTGTAAACACAAGCATTTTCTCATCTATACTGTTGTACATGTTCAAGTGCATTTTAAATTGCCCATTAAAGAATGATGGGAAATTGACCCCCCACACTCTCTTTCTCTCTGAGGCAGCTTTGACTGACATCAGTGTTTAATGGAGTTGCCATGACGAAGGCCCCACCTGCTGCTGCTGCTGCTGCTGCCCCTCTCACAGGTGTCACATTACCTTTACAGTTTAATCTACAACTGCTATCAATGCAATGCATATAAAAGAAGAAGAAGCTGCCACTGAGTGGGGGGTGTCTGTCGTACCGGTGTTAGAGCAGGACACGAAGGCAAACTCACACTCATCCTCGTGAGTGTGCAGGCTCTCCAGGGAGCAGATCACCTCACATCCCTGGGCTGCATTCACGCAGCGGATCTGGAGACGGCTCAGGTCGTTACGCATGTACCTGACCTCAAACAAAATGAAAAAAAATTAGTAGCTGTGAGATGAGAGATGTACTGTAACACACTTTTAAGAAAAGGCAACACTGCACAAATCTGGGCCCTGACTCTGAGAACAAAAATGACAAGGTTGGAAAAGTCTCTTCCGTCCTTTCTTTGCTGCGAAATGTCTATTTCCCAAGTTTGGGATCAATTACATTGAATCTAATTGCTCTAAACATTTTCTGAAAACAAACGTATTTCAATTATTATCCACAATTCAATTCAATTATTAGTGATCAATTATTTGTGTCGTTTGACTGGCTCTAAACATTTTCTGAAAACAAACATATTTCTTACAGTGATCAATTATTTGTGTCGTTTGACTGAGTGACATCCGGCTGCATGGACACAGACCTGCACAGTGGCTTTAAACTGCTCACGTCCAGTGGCAGTCTGTCCTCGGGGCAGGAGTGGTGATGGAGCAACCAGCTGCTGATGCATGCACTGCAGTAAGCATGTTCACAGGGTGCCTGCAGGGGGCGCTCCAACACGTCCCGACACACACAGCACAGCAGACCCTCATTCACAAAGCCCACGAACCTCTCAAGATCATAGCCCATCCTACAGTCACACAAACAGACACAAAAAGTTAAAGAATTGTTCATTACAGCCATGATTTATCACTCTGATTAGTTTGCTTTAAAAAAAACCATAAAATTCATACCTGAAAACTGAACCGTTTCCTCCTCAAAGTCCAAGGTCACTCTTGACTGTTTTCTCTTCTCTGCTACGTCTGTTATTCTCCTTCTATCGTTTCATCCTCCCTTCTGACTTGTTGCTCCATTGAGGTGAGGGTCTCCTTTCTCCTGAAGTCCTCCCATTCCTCTGGGACTATGTCTCCATGGAGAAGTATCCTTGACAACAGGGAAGCAGCTGGTGAGCCAGGTGAGCTCAGATCAGATTATTAGAAACAGACAGAATTACAGTGCACAAAGAATTCAAATAAAAAGTCCAAATACAACAGCAACATTAGCGTTTCATCACCACTGCTGCCTGCACAGATTACTGCTGCCCTTCAAATGTCCAGTCTCTACTAATGACCCAACCTTTTCCCAGGTTTCCCTTTTTGCATGTGGGATTAACTTGGAAAACACTTACTCTCTCCACTCCTCTGATTGGATTACGGACAGCATGACTCCAGGTGACAACATACGCCCATCAAAAAGCAACTACAAGGCAAATCATCAAGGTGAAAGAGTACAATTTTTGTTAAATTTTACTTTTTTCTGACTACTCGGGATTTGTGATGTTATTTCGGTGTTGGTCGAAAATTAATTTGAATGAGGAATTAAATTTTTTCAAACTTAATAATATTGAAATGTTATACTTAAATCCATTTAAAGTGCCTATAAAACTGGAGAAATGCCACTACGGCATGTGTATTATCGATAGGTGTGCTCGATTTGATATAAGTAACGAACATGTTAATAAAAACTAAATACATATGAGGTGGACAACACCACCAGTGTTAGACATATCTAACGCACCCCACACTTTGTGACCACGCCTGTTCCGCAATGACAACCAATCACCGTATGGAAACAATGTAGCGGGAGATACAGAACAGGAAGCGAACCCAGAGAAAACCGAGTTTACCGAGTTAGCATGAATTAAGTTACTTAAAAACAAAAAACTGCGATAACGCGCGTTACTTTCAACTTGGTATGTATGACACTTAGATGTAAGTTAAGCATATTTTCAACATAACAGCCGCAAATATTTCTCTCCATTGTACTTTTTAGCTCTTTGCTAAACCCTGTTGCATTTTAGGAGTAGTTCACCAGTGGACAGTTTTCTTCCTGCTAGCTGTGTGTCGTAATGATATAACGTGATGTATTTATAATATAATATGCTGGCTTTCAAGTTTATAGTGGGTATTTGGGTCATAATTTGTATTACATTGCTCATAATGTTGCTCTGTTCTGTTTTGCTTCTTTTTTGCTTCGCCAAATGATGATCCTTCTAAATAAATGTTATTTTTATTGTAATGTTAAATGTTTTTTCTATCTGATGTAGATAAGTAACTGGAAGGAGAATGAGGCGCTCAGCTGCTCCCAGTCAGCTCTTGGGAAATGCAGTGAAAAAGCCTAGATTTTTACCTCCTGGAGCATCTTCTCCAAGCTTTGCATGTGAACCGAAGCACCTTTCCCCTAAACCTGGGTTAGGCAATGCATTGGAAAAGGTCAGCAACATACATCATTCTTACAAACATTTCCACTTCCTCATAGATTATTGTTTTTTTTTATTGCTTCTTCACATTGTAATTCTTCTTCTTTTTCATCATGCAGGTTCAGAGGACTCTAGTAGCACCTGTTGCAAGTAAGACAGGCTGCAACGTCCAGCCAAGAGCACCACAGTCTGCTCCAGCCTTGTCACGGGCTCTGGCTCGTGTTCTAAGTGCAACAGAAAGCAAGGAAAATGATGCAAACCTGGAACATTCTGAAAGTGTCACCAGAGACAACACAGAAGAGCATGGAAAAAAAGGTAAGAAAATTATTTGTTTCCAAATCATAAAAGATGCAACATAGCCAATTGTACAGCCTGTTGTGGATTTACCTGCATTTAACTTTATACTCTACGTGAAGAGAGAAAGGTACTTGCACGTAAGGATAGTAAAAATGTACATCTATTTTTGTGGGTTTTATAGACAATTAACAAGGAAAAATATGATTTGTTTAAAGTTGGTCAAAGACTTGGCCATGATCCAAGTATGTGGGGAAAAATATGATTTGTTTAAAGTTGTAAAAGTTTAAAAGACTTGGCCATGATCCAAGTATGTGCAACAAAAATGTTGTATATAAATGTATATAAATCAGCAACGCATCATAATATCAATAAAATGTTCTTAAAAGAGTAGGACAGGCTCAAATTAATATATCTGAATGTTTATTCAGACATTCTGAGTTATCTAAATGGCTTCATAGTCCTTGTAGAATTGGTTTGAGTGTTTGTGTGTGGCTAGGTGGATGAATGAGCGTGAATGTGTGGGTTTTTTTTATACACAATGTCTGTTTGGTATTTACTTTGGTGAATAACATCAGAATGCAGTACATATCTGTTTAGTTTTACTCACTAACTGCTTAGTAGTTAGTAGAATTAGTAGTGCTCAGTATAGTTCAAGTAAGTGAAGATCACGTACACAGAACATGCCACGTCGTGTACTTACAGTGCACAGGTTTGTTCATGTTTGTAGCAGAGCAATGGAGAATACAAAAACGGCTTTATTCAGTTGAGGAAACTGCAGTTTGTCCTTAAGAAAACTTAAATCTTTACTTTTGTCTCTGTGTTGTTTTGTACAGAGAATGTAGTTAAAACAACATTCTGTAAATAATCTTCAACACTATCTGCATTTATTTCTGTAAGCTTTGAAAAACCAAAAAACCAAAATGTGTTAAAAATATGACTCAACCTTATCTTATAATTACCTCGTATATAAAATGTAATATAAAGTGTTTGTGAAGGTAGACGGTCACTGTTAAAGTGTTTTTGAAGGTAGATGGTCACTGTTTTTGAAGTTTGAGGCTTAAAGTCAAAACAAAAAAAAAAATATAATTTCACTACTAACCACATACAGTAGGATTGTTTTAGGTGGAGAAAATATCTATTTACTTATGTCATAACGCTTTTTCGTGGCAGAGATTTTGTTAATAACCGCCACTGAACACTAACATTATTGTCATATAAATGAGTGTTCTGTGGACTGAGCAGCAGTCAGATTAGGACCGTGGTCGGGATTAGCGAGCCACTCAGCCAGCGCTCCCGCCTCCCGTCTTTCTGTCTGGGTTTCCAAACGGACATTACTCGGCTCACACGCTCTACAAGCCCTCGTCTGTGTGGTGTGGATTAACATTTACAGTACAAAACAAAAAACTGAACGTTCGGGGGAGGGAGACGATGTGCGCATGTGCGTTGCTCTCTCACTCCTCCCTCCCCCACTCAGTTAGTTAAGCCAGCGCTATTTTAAAGCTTCAGTCGCTGATAGAAAAACGACAGCCGTGGTTCTTACTGTCGTGTAAAAACACACTCTGGAACATGTTTTTCTACAGATACAGACCTGTTACTGCCCCTAACGTTATGATAATATTAAAGTCAGAAAGCGAGAGAGACCGTGCCCTGCTCTGTGCTGTGCCTGGCTTGGGGTTTACACAGACCCAGCTGAAAATAGGTCGGGCTGGGCTTAAGCGGCTTAGCTACGTCAGCCTAAGATGAGAGGAATTCACCTAAAGCCCTGCGTGGTAGGCGGGGGCCTAAAACGAGGCTGGCCTAGTTAAGCCTGATCCTTATTGTGTGCAGCCCAGCCTGCTTTTGTTGAGTAAGGCAGCCGAGAGGGAAGGAATAGTGTAGGACCCAGTGGGCATGTTAGATGTATTGCAGACACGTCTAATTTATAGCAGACAGGAGAGGACCAGTTAGAAATGTATAAATATTAGATCATTGGCATATTCCTGTCACTGTGGAGAAAAACAGAAACCTGGTTCAGAGACAACCAAAGACAAGTAAGAAGCTTGAGGAGGCTCAACGCTGGTTACTGAGGCCTGCAGGCGTTAGGCTCGACTTGGATGGATCCACTATGCAACAAGATGCCAGGCTCCTCTGCGTTTTTGTCCAGTATGGTGGGTAAAGCTCGCTCCTCCAACTTCACTCTTTCTGAGAAGCTGGACCTGTTGAAACTGGTGCGGCCTCACATCCGCATCCTGGAGGAGCACACCAACAAACATGCAGTCATCGTGGACAAGAACAAGTGCTGGGATATTGTGGCAGAGCAGTACAACACGCTGGGAGGCGACAGACCCCACCGCACTGCTCAGGGCCTCAGGACACTCTACAAGAGGCTGAAGGAGTCGGCCAAGCAGGAAGTGATGCAGCGGAGACACACCCAGCCAGAACTCAGGTCTGCCATCTCTGAGCCAACCAGGAGAATTATGGAAATGATCCCTCACCTCTTCCAGCTCCTGCCCATCCACGAGGACCTGACACTGCGCAGGTACAGTGTAGTACGCAACAAAAAAAAAAAAACTTATGTCAGAGCAGTTCAGAACATCTATTAAGAAAAAATCAGTATTTTGTAACTCAACTGTGCCAAAGTGAGGAGAGGAAAGGTCCAATCAGAATATCTGATTGTGGTCAGAAATTAAAGGAACTTTGCCTTCCATTGTTTTTATTACAGCTGGTTATCACAGTTACATTGGTTAGATCTGAGGCTTCTTATTGATTATTTGATTTTTTTTTCTTTTTTTAAATTTATAACCAAAAAAGTATTTAGTACAACTACAATATTACATAGAACAGATGTCATGCCACTTAAACAAGCAGAAATTAAGAAACTTCAAACTGGCCTTGACACATTCAGGAGATTATATCTTTCGTAATGATAAGTCTGTAAATATTTAGGTCATTTCATAGATGATTGTTTTAAGCACCACCAGCAGAGGGCTCAACATGTTTAACACCTAAGAGATGAGGGCATTCATTGTTATCATTATTTTTTATTTTATAGGTTAATATACAGTAAACACAACTCCCCCATGGAGCATCCTGGAAGCAGCTCTATTCTGTCTGCACCCCAGGATTACTCCCCAGCTGTCCCAAGTATCACCCATGAGGTGGTGCAGCTGGACTCTGAAGAAGATGTAAAACCTCCGCCAGACATCCATGTTCTCACTAAGCACACTCGTCCAGGGCTGGACGGGGACCAGGAGCAGGAGGAGGAGGAGGAGGAGGACCAGGAAATGGGCAGCATCCACGATTACGAAGCCTCCCTGTCCCCCACACCTTCTTCTATTAACATACCCCTGTCCACCTCTCCACTGCCCTTACGCAATGACATCTTTCACAACGACATTTACCCTCACCACGATTCTGACAGGTTCCGTCCGCTGCATTTGGCCAAAGAGGAGCATGAATTAGTGTTAGCCAATCACAGGAAAGTTGCCCTCTACCTTGAGGAGAAAAGAGAGGGGCTGAAGAGGAAGCAGAAGTTGGAGGAGGAGCTTCTGAGAGCCAAGATTAAAGTGGAAAAATTGAGGGCAGCCAGACTCAGACATGGACTACCGGTTACTCTGTAACTAATATTGTCGTCGACTTAGGGACGATGTCAGAAAGAAACCCAAAGAGTTTCTGGTGTCTTTGAGAAAACGTTGTGCCTCGTACAGACACCTGATATCTGTCAGACTTGTGTTGCCATTTTCTTTATGTTTAACATGTTTAATGTTTTGCCATTACTCCTATACTTTATGGAGAGCACATTTTTAGACCATTATCACCAACACTGTGACAGCTCACCGCAAATAAAAAAAGTACAGATTACAAAATGGGAGCATTTTTAGTCAGGTCCCATTTTTTTTTACAGTTTATTTCTTGCCCATTTTCTTAAATGTTGGAATAGTTTTAGTGCCTATAACAAAACACACAATTTAGCAGTTTTAGTAAAAAGAAAAAAACTAGAAGTCAAATGTGATCAACTTAAATTAGCATTTCAGGTGTTTTGGTTTCAGAAAAAAACACAAATGTTTTGGAGGTTACTGAAGCTGAAAGGGTTAGAAGGGTTACATTTATTAGATGTGGTTTTGTAATGTTTTTATTATTTAACTGTGTAACTACAGTGTTAATTCTAATGTGTGTGATTAATATTTCTATGTTCTCACTACACTTTACCTCATCATACGTTTAAGTGTTAATAAAACTGTAAATGAAAAAAAAAAAAAAGCTTTCGCTCAAGTCTTTTTATGTCACCTTTGCATGATTTTGCCGACATTCGCTTCTATGTCACCTTTGTACCTTTGCATGATTTTGCCGACATTCGCCAAAATAAAGAATGTTTATCATCTCCCACGTTGATGATGTTTAGACCTAGGGCAACACTGACCTCTGCTGGTGAGTCTTGTTTTCTGTCGTGTTCAGACTTTCTCATGTCTGTTTTTGTATTACAGGAGTGAGCAGTTCTTCCCAGTTGGCTCCCAGGTCTCTTCAAACTCCAATGCCTTCTGCAGAGTCATCAAGCCAGGATGGTGTGCGTTACTTCAGTGTGATGTGGTGTAAAGCCAGTAAGAAAAAACACAAGCGTTGGGAGGGAGATGCCGTCCTGGTGACAAGGGGACGCACAGTCACACTAAAAGACATGGAAGGAAAAGACATCGGGAAAGGTGAGGCCTTTTGGTCAGACTCATATATTTTAACTTTGACATTGAATAAAGTTCTATTATTTGTTTATATATTGACTTTAGTTATACTGTGTATTTGTTCACTTTGTTCCATGCAGGCAGCGGCTATAAGGTGTCTGAGTTGGCATCTCTTTCTGAGGGGCAGACCCTGATGGTTGGTGGAAAGGAGGTGGAGGTGATGGGGGTCGTTTCTGCAGAAGACTATGCGAGAGGACGTTGTTTTCGAGAATTGCAAATCGAGGAAGAGGAACCACAAACAAAGTCGGCCCTGGCTGCTCCTCGTCGTTTTACCTCCAAACCATTCTGCCCACCGATGCAGTCAGGGAGAGGTGAACATCCACGGGGTAAAACAGAGGAAGAACACATTCCAAGACCTCGTCATGATCCCAGTGCTTCAGGTTTGCAGATGTCTTCTAAAGGCTTCACTGCTTTAAACCCAACTAATTTTGCATGAATTAAAAATGATGAATATCTCAGGTTCTGTCTGTGATTTCAATATTTTAGACTCAGGGAAAATGATTCCTCAAGGTTTCTTGGCCTACTGAATAAATCAAATCTTTTTTGGAACCAATCTATGTGATCAGTGGTGATTAAAAAAACCAAAAAACTTTTTGTACAAAATATTTTTTATACATTACATGTTTTTCATCCTCAGGTGCTCTAGTGATGCCTCGACCCTCCGCCAACCACCAGTGGTCTAATAACAAGTCAGGACTTCCTGTAGTCGACGTTGTTGTTGATCCACATCTGACCTCTCATCTGAGACCTCACCAGAGAGACGGCCTGCTTTTCCTCTATGAATGTGTCATGGGCATGAGGTGATGGAGTGGTTCCTGTAAAACATCAAATCCTCCTCAAAGGACCTCCAACCAAATTTAGCTTCACAGCATCTTAGATTGTCATATACACATGTTTTGTGTGTTTCAGAGCTGTGGGTCAACATGGTGCCATCCTGGCTGATGAGATGGGACTTGGTAAGACCCTCCAGAGTGTGGCGCTGGCCTGGACTTTGCTGAAGCAGGGCCCGTATGGAGGGAAACCCATCACAAAACGTGTCCTTGTGGTGACGCCTGGAAGCCTAGTGCAGAACTGGGGTGCGGAGTTTAACAAGTGGCTTGGACGTGAGAGGATCAGCGTTTTCACTGTGGATCAGGTCAGAGCAGAAGAAACTGAGAATCAGCTGTTTTTGGTTTATGAGAAGATCTGTTCATTTCGAGAAGGTCTAACGAGTCCATGTTCCCATTATGGCAAAGAGGAAATGTTTCATAAACTCCCAGTTTTTGTTCAAGCAGCTTATGTGGGATTTTACTGTCACTAATTTGTGAAGCTAGGCAAACAGCCAAAAAGCTCGTCAGATTATTGTGTATTGTGGAAAAAATCAAAAATGTATTTTTATTTGTATGAGGTTCTAAAATTAATTATTTTGACTGTATTTTTATATGAGGTTCTAAAATTAATTATTTTGATGTTTATAGGACCACCGGATAGAGCAGTTTGTGTTATCTCCTCTACACAGTGTTCTGGTTATCAGCTATGAGATGCTGCTGCGCTGCTTGGAGCAGGTTGGTCCACATCCTGTCTCACCTTAAAGATTTTTTTTTACTGAACTAGTTCAAACCAGCTTTTGTTTTTGTTATGGGTTTTTAATTTTCAGGTCCAAAAGATGGATTTTGGTCTCATCATTTGCGACGAAGGTCACAGGTTAAAGAACAGCAGCATCAAAACATCTTCTGCTCTCAGCAGCCTCAGCTGTAACCGCAGGGTCATATTAACAGGTATTCACCTCACCACATCACCTTAAAGAGTTTTTCCTGAGAGTTTACTAAAAAGTTGTTTTATGTTTGAAGGAACTCCTGTACAGAATGATCTGCAGGAGTTCTATGCCATTATAGAGTTTGTGAATCCAGGGATTCTTGGATCATCAACTGCTTACAGAAAAGTGTATGAAGAACCAATTTTACGCTCCAGACAACCTGGCTGCACAGAGGTTACACTTCTTTTACCTGTTTTATTGCAATCTGCAGCACTTTTATGTTCACAAGGATCATTTGTCTTTATCTCACATCTTTCTATGCCAAAAGGAGGAGAGGATTTTGGGAGAGGAGCGAGCAGCCGAGCTGTCACGACTGACTGGCATGTTCATCCTGAGGAGGACGCAAGAGATCATCAATCGCTACCTGCCTCCTCGTCTGGACTGGACACTGTTCTGTGAGCCCTCAGCTCTGCAGCTGGAGCTTTACAGGCGCCTGCTGTGTCACCAGGTCTTCAGAGCCTGTCTTCAGAGCTCCACACAATCACACACACACCTGGCCTGCATCACTGCGCTGAAGAAGCTGTGTAACCACCCTGCTCTGCTGCACTCCACCGTCAAGGTGATATGTTTATCCTGTATTTACACGGCACAAAGAAAAGATCCTAAATAAATAGATAAAATCTTTATGAAAACAACAAAGTTATGTCTTTGCATATCCTACGTTTAAGTCTCAACACAAGTGAGGGATGTTTCAATCACTTTTGTAGGTTTATGGGGAATCTCTTACTCAGGTCTTACCAGGTCACAACCTTGAACTTTAAATGTTGTTTCAATTTTCAGAAAAAGATTTTTCTGTTTTTTCTGACCGTTTGAAATGAAATCTGTCTGAGAAACTTTTGACCTAAAAATTAAATTCTGTTTTCAATGTTTTTGGAACGTAAGGAAAATGATTATTGTCTATGATTTCAGGAGAAAACAGAAATGGAATCAGGGGAGAGTTCCATCTACGACAGATTAGTCGACGTCTTCCCAGAATCCTACTCTTCAGGATCTCTGATCACTAATGATTGTGGGAAACTTCTGGTTCTGTCCGACCTGCTGACTGCCATACGACAGCTCAGCCCCTCAGACAGGTATATGTGTGTGTTCATATACATACAGTATACACGTATACTGGAGTACAATACTGTCTCTGTACTTTATGATCCTGGACATTCAACAGCGTATCTGTGTCCTCCACAGGGTGGTCATCGTGTCCAACTACACCAAGACACTGAACTTGCTCCAGGACTTGTGCGTACTCGCGGGCTACACCTTCTGTCGCCTGGACGGACAAACACCAACCAACCAACGGCAGCGACTGGTTGACGGTTTCAACAGCCCTTATTCTCAGAACTTTGTTTTTCTGCTCAGCTCCAAAGCTGGGGGGGTGGGGCTTAATCTGATCGGTGCCTCCCATCTGGTGCTTTACGATATCGACTGGAACCCTGCCAATGATATTCAGGTAAGACAATCCAGCAGAGTCCAAAGTCTGGGACGAGGCTGACATTTACACGGCCTAGGTCCAGAAATGTTGACACAGGTTAAAAAAAAGCAATTAAACCAAATATATTTTCTCTTGTCAATTTTCTTTGTCTGTTCTATTAGAATGTCAAAAGCATGCACATTTACAGTCATGGGCTGATCTTCTCATCTGTCCACCAGGTGGCACTGTTTACATGTGAGACTCTCACAGCTCCTTTATGTTCTTTCCTGTGTTTAGGCCATGGCGAGAGTATGGAGAGATGGTCAGAAGAAGACTGTTCACATCTACCGTCTCCTGACTGCAGGTCAGGACACACTCACACACTGTGATCATCACAGGTTTTCAAAGAGATGTCAACATTTGTCTCATTCATTCTCAGGTACCATCGAGGAGCGTATTTTCCAGAGACAGGTGTCCAAACAGGGACTTTCTGGAACTGTGGTCGACCTGGGCAAAGGGGCGGAGCACACCAGCTTCTCCACCAATGAACTGCGAGACCTCTTCAGCTTGACAGATACTCCCTCCCTGACC